GGGGGAAGGGGGGCGGGTTTTACTATGGGTTGCGTTTGGAGGGGAAGAAAATGGCAGCGAAAAGTTGTATGGGAGAAATTGGGTGAGGTAAAATGGGTGTGAGGTGTGAAGGTGAGTGAGTGAGTGAGTTGAGTGAGGGAGAGCAGCGAAGAAAAAGAGCGAGGGTAAAAAAAGGGCGGGCCGCCTGGCTGGGCTGGCTGGCTCTCTCTCTGGCTGGCTCTGGCTGGCACTGAGGCAAAACTGGGCGAGACCAGGCCAAGGAGGCAAAGAGAGGGGGAAATCTGCTGGGAAACAAACCAGTCGTACCAGCCGTACTGTCATTTAACTACTCCATACCACACAACCACCAGAGGAGACCGTTGCTGACCTGACCCGTCCAGTACGCTCGCGATACCACCACCGTATGATACATACACATCAGCCATACCACGGCACCACCAACAGAATCAGGCAAACGGCAGACAAGAGGGAAGTGGTGGGCCGTGGCAGTAATGATCTCAGGTGCGTGCTGATTTAAAATTCCTTCCCAGCCTGGTTGATCTCTCCACCGTCGCCTGCTAATTCGTGCGTGCTGATTAAAATCCACTCGTCGCGTTTGGCGTGTTGCCTCTTTCTTGATCATTGCTTGTAAATTAATCAGTGGTTGATCCAGGTTGATCAGAGTCGCTTCCCATTACTTTTAAATACAGATTGATTACTCTTCCACTCATACCCGGTGGTTCAGACCGTAGCGGGTAACAGCAATTGATCTTTGATCCCCTTCCTCGCCGTGTGTTTTGTAAACAAAATTTAAAATGGTGATGCCCCAGTTATTTGCTCATTGTTTCATCCATCCACTCACCTACCCACCCAAACCCATTCCATAACACCTTTTTAACCGTTGAAAATTTGGTATTTTAATCGTGATAGTTATATTTCTTTGGTAATCCGGCCCCCATCCATCTCAGTGGGTTAGCCAACAAGAAACCGAAACCACTCTATTTATACGGTCGTTGGCAGACAATAATTTTGTGAGGGTTATATACCGTACCGAATTTAGCATTAGGATCGTGGTAACCAGTCCGTACACACCAGTACTCAACGCCAGCTTAAGAGGACACGGAGTTGAGGGGGAAAATAACATCAATCCATCCACCAATCAACCATGTCATCGTGCTTCAAAACCATAGATTTACGTGTGCTTGCACTTGAACAGGTGAGTGGTAGTCGTCTGCCAGTCGTACTCGAGAGTAGATACCTGGAACACAAACAAGCCAGTATCAAGCGAGCCAACTCTAGCTGGATTCGATCCACACAATATCACACCCACCGAGGTGTTTGTTGCTGGTATCCATGAGTAATATATCATCCTGTATGATTCAAGGATTGCACCGAGTAATGATGATCCTGCAAAAAAGCGAGGCGGGGACTTGCTGAAAGAGGATGTTCCTAGCAATTTGTAATACGGTGATTTGGGCTATCCGGGCTATCTGGGGAATTTTTTTTTATTTTTATTCTCAACCTATTTTTCTCTAATCAATTATCAGACTTGAGGGCTTATTATTTTTAAACTGGCTGCGTTGCTTCGATACATACGAACTCTGTACGTAGGATGCGTATAATAACAGAGATAGGGCTTTGAGACAACAAACTAGTTACTCAATACAACACACCACCAAGATTTTATATGTGGCTTTTTACGACGGACACCGGAGCATATGCAAATAATACGCACTACAATAGACGGGCATAATCTCGAAATAACTAACCAGAATGCATGGAGCTAGAATTGACTTGCTGATTGGTAGCGTGATCACTAGTTGGTTACAAATACCCTTTTCTTCATCTCCTCATCACACATCACTACTTCATGGTTCATACAGCCCCCATGCATGTATGTACTACTGTTCGGAGATCTATGCACGGATGGGTTGCCCAAGTTCCTAGTTCTAGTTAACTACCTTCTATCTCAGCTAGCCACCACTCTCTGCCCTGCACATGAAGACTGTTTATGTTGTCAACCCTCGACAAAACCTGCAGCAAACATCCTTAATTCTTTATCTATTTGTCTGGGTAGTTGTTCTTGTTGTTTTGACAGTCGTGTTTTGTTGATTGTTTTTTGTTTATTTGCTATTTCAGTTCTTCCTCCTTTCTCTTTCGGATATTACTGTTGTATATATATATATATATATATATATTTCCGTCAAGTTCATGCCTCGGGTCTCGAACCTTTTCTTTGACGCCTGCCATTGATCTCTAGGGTGAACCCTGTAACCAATTCAGAATCAATCCATCTTGCTCCCGCCCGTCGTTTAGTTATCTCGTTATCCATTACTACTCAGGCTTTTGGCACGGGCTGTTTTACTCACAGTAAGCAGGGCCAGTTTCGAGTGACTGTCCCGCTTGAGGGATTCATACTGACAGAGAATACTATTTTATTGTCGGGAATGGGCCTATGCAGATAGCTTTATATATCCATTTTTCGTGACGGTTAACTTCCATTTAACCTCTCTTTTCTCCTAAACCAGTATCCCGTTGTCTCGAGCTTTCAGGACTGGGAGTTTGCTCATGGTGCTTGATCCTGGTGGTGGTGGTGGTGTTATCTCTTTTTCTGCTGCCGGCACAAATCCTTGCTGTGGAGTTAACCAACTTCTCAATCATATAGGATGCCCAGAACAATCTACTTGGTAGTTATATAAGAAATGAAATGGAAATATATGGTCAAAATCCTGGTGATGTTGGAAATACCGCCAATATCCTTCACTTTAGACCCGACACTTATGGTTGTTTTGACAAACGATCTCTTGTTAACTATCGTCACAAAAGTTCCCGGAGCTGCAAACGGGCTCTACAGTCGAAGCAGAGGCCAACGCTTCTTCTGTCACCTGATACATCTCACCTACCCTTTTAGACGTCGTAGCCGATTACTGGAATACATATCACAATACTCTTGTACAATACCTCAATGATTAGATGCCGAAGCTATCTTTTTACATTTTGCTTGGGCTGTTCTTTTCATGTGAAGGATTTTATCACGGTTGGTTGGTAGCGCTCGTCATGGCATTCCAGTTCATGAGTCTGTTCATGAATTGGGTTATTGGGTTATTGGGTGGAATGGAAGGCGGAGTTCCTCAGTGGAGCCCAGCTTAGAAATAAGTTCTGCGGCGAGGAATCAATGGGCGCAATCCAGGAGAGGCGACGGATTGACGCAGACACTACAGCAGAGTACGGCAAGTTTATGGGATCTAGTGAGGGTAGCGATGCTTGCGTGGCTGACGGTACGTTGTGTTTCAGGATTGGGTAGCGAGAGGACAGAGAGGGCTGCTGCAGCAGACACCGAGTGCGGTGAATCGGGTTCGCAAGGGAGTTTCGCAACGGCAGCGGAGAGCAGGAGATTTGACCTGAAGTCTACGGACGGAATGAAAATACCTGGACCACTGCCGGGATTGTCTGTTCTATCAATTTATATGTAGAGCTAACCACGCATACCTCGTCCCATCAAACGTATTACTAAGATCGACTCATCACGCAGCGTGAAACAGAATAATTTACAGATGAAACTTAGGTCGACTGGGATATGAAGGATAAGTGGCTTGAAAAGAACAGTACTAGGCGTATGCTTAGATTCATGAACAGCTTGAGGAAGCTGCAGCAAGTGCCTGAACCATTAGGAAGAGCGAACTTTACCGGGGAAGAATTGCGAGAGGCCAACAAAATCATCGTGGATGATTATTAGTAGGACTGTCTGGAGAGATGGGATGATGCAGAGTTTATGACCTGAGCGTTGCTAGGCCCAGGCTAGCATGATGTGATGTGTTATAGCTATCCAAGGGTGAAATGCTAAGCCTTTTTCCAGAGCCTCGGAGGTCTGTATATTAACACATCAGAATAATTGAAACCAAGCGGTGACAAAACTTCACTTTTCCAGATACCAGCTTTTCTGACATATGATATGAATCAAAAAAAACCAGAGTCGTGAACTTGGTTCCAGCTCCCCCCAGCAGGCAGGGCAGCATGAAAGAAACTACTTATGACCTTAAGTCATGTTATCAATAGAATATGCGTTAAGAGACGCGGGGCGGCAGCCTCAAGATAGTCCCTCTGCTTCTTCCTCCACTCTGCACACAAGAAGACCAGGCCGATTGGCAAACAAGCAAATTCAGCCTTGCATTCATTCCTCCCTGTTTGGAAATCGTACGGGAATTGCATGGTAAGAACGAACATATAACCCCACATTTTGTATATGCCGCTAAGGGGGTGTGTGGATGTTGTTCCGTCCGTGCGTTCTCTTCCTGTTCCATTTTATCGAGGAACAAGGTTTGATATGGGCGGGTGGAGGAGATAGGTAATCGAGTCTTAAAGCGGGTTCCAACGCACTCTTGATTCATCTAAACGCAAGATCTGTCCATTTTCGTGATCGTGCATGTTAAAAGAAATTCATAACCATTTTTTAATCAAATACTTTTGGGTAGTCTAGATCGTCTGATCGCATTGGAATTTGTCGCGCTGATCTCCGCGTCGCTACCATCTCATGCAACATATCGATAGGGCGGCGGACGCAGTGTGTGTTGAAGGGATCGGATATCAGACAGGAAGGAAGACGCCATGTCGTGTAAATTTGGAATACAAGAGATCATTTATCTCGTGTTTCTTTCCCTTAGGGAAAAGAGAAGGTTATCGGTAGCAAAAGGACCGACCGTCCGTAACAAGCAACCCAAATTTCAATTATTCCCCACGGCACCAATTCTCCGTAGGCTGGGCAGAATTGCATAGAAACAAAACAATCACAGTTCCTCAAGCATCATCTGCGACATCATCAACCACCAGGTCACGCAGCTTTTCATCCTCCGCCCAGTCAATGCCACTCGCGACAATCGCAGCGCTAACTATCCGCTTGATGGTCACCCAGTTTGCCTGTTCAGCTTTACACTCCTTCTCCACAGTTTCCAACTGAGCCCTAAGCTTCGGGTCTGTAATCTCCTCTCTCCACGTCTTCTCTGCACTCGTAAGTCCCAGAAGAGTCTGCACCATTTGCTGATTCTTTTCATTGTGCTGGATATTTTCCACTTTTGCGTCTGAGAGGGTCTGGATGCATGATGCGTGGGCGCGGGAGAGGTTCTCATATATGAGGGAGAGGAGGTCACGGCGATTTATGAGCGGGAGAAGGGCTCTGCGTATTAAATTGATATGTAAGTAAGGTTGATTACGAAGTATCGCCATTCAGATCTAGGGAAGGGGCTAGAATACCTCTCAGGGGGGAAGTTGGATGCTGCATGGACTGATTGAATGCTTGGGTCTGTCATCAGGACAGTTTCAATGGCCTTCCTCCTTACGGAGTATGTAGATCTGGCCTCCAATAATTCGCGCTCTGCTTGGGCAAGCCGCTCTTCAATGTCATCATCGGCATCGGCATCGTCAGATGCTGGTTCAACGTAGTCTAGTTACGATGGATGGAGAGACTGTTAGCATAACCGTTTTGGGCGAAACCGAAGGCAAAAGTATGCTCAGAGCATAAGTAGAGGGGGCATACCTTGCGATAGCAGAGCCGCCTCAAGTTCCTGTTCCTGGATGCGGTCGTAGAGTTCTAGGACCTGCAGTTCCTTGCGAGACAGTGACATGACATCTCGGGTGCTACTAGTGTTTGCAAGCTCCAGCAGAGCTGTTTCGTGAGGTTCCAGCTGCGACTGTGACCTGGTAACAGGCACCTCACTGTCCAGTGCCATTGCGGGCAATATAATATAGCCAGTTGTGTCAATGATGCATCTTGTGATGAAGAAGTAAGAATGCACAAAGATGATTTAAACACTAGTCCATATATATTTTATCACAGACAGGAACTCAGTCAGGCGGCAACAGATCGATCAACTGACACGCTTCAGCTTGGCAGGTAAATAAAATATTTTGGATCCAGAGCAAATGTCCAAGTGGTTTGGGTGGGACCGGGTGGAAGCTTAAAAGTGAGCTAAGCCTTGCCCCAGACCGGGCGGTTAACTAAATTGTCAACCAACCACTCCATAACTACGGAGTAATTACTTTACAGCCCGATGATAGTATGTTTGTACATGGATGGGGCATTCCAAGTTTAACATCATTTTACTGCTTCAACCTTCCCCCCGTCCATGAACTCCTTTTTATCTGGCCCTACCACCTTGCTATCCCCGTGAGGGATTGTTTCAGTGGCTCTGGAAGGGGGGATGTCATTGCATATCTACGTTGCTCATACGGGCGAGCAGCTGCTTGCTGATCCCGTTTCGTTCGCTTCGTATGGGCCCCCGATTACAATATATAAGATACCTGAGTCAATGTGGAAGCAGTATATGAACTAATGGTGCTGTTTACTAGGCCTGATGCTTTGCGAACATGGATCTCCAGGAAAGTCTCGATACCGGCCCAGCGACAAATATTGATGACTGCTCGCGGGAGGAATGTTAGGCCGCAGACTCTTGCTACAGAGGTATAGAATATACGAGCAGTGCCCCTCTCATAACCTACCTGGTGAATATTTTATTTGGCTAACTCAGATAGAATGAAATATTCGTCTATGACCGGTTATATATAAGCGACAACGCAGTTAGAGACCTCCCAGAAGTCGCACCACCCCAACGTTTTACTCCGGAAAACCCTCCCAATACCTTAGCAGATCAGAATAACTTACAAGCATGGCGAAGTCTCTACATGGCACGGAGGGAGTGGGCTTTAAATCTGGCGACACAGTGCGCTCCAACCAGTAAAGCGATCGACAACCAGATCGAGCACACACATGTCATCAATCGAGCTGTGGATGTTGCCTTGGAGAATCTGAAATCGCACGTCGGAAACCTAGAACACAAGTTCCAGGAGTCTCAGTCGTGGGCGAACGATATATTTAAGGAACAGCAGCTGGTTCTTGACGGCTGGCGTCGTGCGCTTGCCAACATTGAAACCATCCCGGCGAAGCAAGACTTTACCTTCCTGCGACGTCCATCAACCCCCAAGAAAGCCAAGGACCACCAGACTGGAACTCTACAGGACTACATTGATGTGGATCAGGTCAAGCGTGCTGGATCCCAGGTGTCTACCGTGTCTGAGCGATTCGCCCAACGTATGGATGAGATAGAGAAAGCGGTCCATGAGGTGGTGTCAGAAACGGAGTTACTGGTAGAAGCATCCCATCCATCACCCCAAGAAAATGCAAGTGGTCTTCTAGAGGAGATTGAAACAATTTCCAAGAAAATCAACTCTGACTATGAGCATGTGCTGGCGCTTCCGAACACACAAAAAACATTGTCAAGTGTCTCGAGGATGGCGTTGAATCATACAAAGGATCTCCTTCCGTCTATGATGGAAATGTGTCTGGAGATACAGACTACATTGGACCAGTCCATCAAGAAACGGAACTTAGCGATGAAGTCCGCGGTTAGCCGAATGCAGAAAATCTCCAACATAGAATCTCGATTAGCTAGCGTTCAAGCAGAACTATCCAATTTGGATGTTGACGGGGAGGTCTTTGATACGTTATACGAGGCTTTTCACCTACCTGTTTTGTATGGGTCCGTTCTCGTCGAGGCCGTTCGCCGTCGTGAATGGAGTGACAAAATAAAAACCGATTCTCTGAGCATCGCTGAGGAACTTGCAAGTTTTCGGGATGAAGAGCAACGTCGAAGGAAGAAATGGGTGAAAGCCATGGGTGCTTTTCTCTCCTTGTTTGAAGAAAGCACGCCCGGCATAGAGATCAACTTTCAAGGGACACAGGTGCCTGAATGGCCTGAAGTCTCACGAAAGGAGGTCGAAGCCTATATCGAAGACCTGAAAACTAAGCCTGATACGAGTTCTGCTGTTCAAGAGCTAACGCAACTATTGAAAGATTTGGACACGCCTACGCGACACCAGAGACGAAAATCTAAGGCATTCAAACATGGAAGCGTTTTTGATCTTGGTCGAAGTTCATTCCTTGGTCGTGACGATGATATGGTTCGCAGCTTGAAAGACGAGAAGACCAAACTTGAAGACAAACTAAAGGGCTCAGAGAGCCGTATTCGGAAACTTGAAGATCTGCTCCATCGCCAGAGCCAGATGAGTCGACCAGCCAGCACACATTTTGGCTCTGAGATACCCATATATTCAGCATCTCCCCGCCCAGATCAACTGTCAAGAAGGTCATCAATATCCTCCCGTCGAATGTCGTCAAACCAGTCTCCAGAAGACAAGGCATTAATGCAACGAATTGTTACTCTTGAAGCTGAGCTGCTTGCAGAAAAAGAAACGGTCGCAAAAATGCAAAAGGAAGCGCACGTCGAACGCCAGTCCAACAATTATAAAATCCAAGAAGCTCACTCCACCAAAAAGGACTTGATGGAAAATTTAGAGGCTCAACAGCGTGAATTTGAAGATGAACGGAGATTTCTGGATTTGGAGGCCAAAAAGCTTAAAATTAAACTTGAAGAAGCCGAAGAGGAACTTGATAAAGTAATGGATGCCCGGGAACATGACAGGATTGGTGCGGATGAACGACTGAGCTTGCTCCAATCAGAATTCGATGCCTTGCAAAAGAAGTCTGCTGAGGAGATAGCGGATCTCACTTCTCAAGTCCAAACTTACCATGAGAGTAACGAGAAGGCCAACACCGAGAATTCGACCTTACAAGATCGACTCGAAGAATTCGGTCGAAATCAAAAAGACTACATACAAACTCTACAGACTGCCCATGCCCACCTTTCTCCAGGTGGTTCTGCTCCCCAAGATTTGCCCTCTCTTGTCAGAGCGATAGAGGTCTTGTCAGAAGGCCTAGCAATCCATGCCAAGGGTTCCGACGAAGCTTCAGCCAAGGCGCATGAGGAAAACAGGACTTTGTTGGCGAGGTTGGAACAAATGGAAACTGAAATCAATACATTAAGGACAAGCCTTGCAGCCGAAGAAATTGAACGATCTCGCCTGCAAACGATACAGAGTGAAGAAACGCGAAAACTTTCGGCCGTCAAATCGGAACTGGAGGACGAGCGTCAACAGGTCAGAACTCTAAGGTCCAAGTTCACTGCTGGAGAGACTGGCTCAGAGATTCTAAGGGAGCGCGTTGCTGAAGAGGAGCGCAAAGTTGCTACATTAACCGAAAAACTCGACGCTGCGGAATCTCACACACTTAGCTGTGAGGAGGAGATCCGCACTTGGAAAACAAAAGTGGAAGGATTGGAAGCAGCTGGAGAGCGCACCATTATACGGCTTAATACCAGAGGAATCTGGGCGAAAGAGCTTTCTGAAAAGCTCTTCTCCCAAGCTGAGCAGCTCAGCCGCATACTACACCAACTCGGTTTCACAATTATCCGTCAAGATGAAAATATGGTCATTCAACGAGCGTCGAAGGTCAACAACAGTTCGATCCTTGGGGAGAGCATCAGCTTGCCCTCCGTTACTCCGGCGATTCATGATCCGAAATTGCTACAGTGGATACACACCAATGATCCCGAAGAGGAACAGGCAAATTACACTGCGTTCATCACGGCTGTTAATGAGTTCAACGTCGAGGCATTCGGGGAAGCAATAGTCAAGCGCGTGAAGGATATCGAAACACTAGCACGTAAATGGCAAAAGGAAGCTCGGGGTTATCGTGAGAAGTCACGCCGTTTCCAGAGTGAATCTCATGAGAAGATTGCGTACCGGTCATTCAAGGAGGGGGATCTGGCACTATTCTTACCAACGCGCAACCAGGCCATACGATCCTGGGCTGCGTTCAATGTTGGCGCTCCCCACTACTTCCTCCGAGAGCAGGAAGTGCACAAACTACACACCCGCGACTGGCTTCTTGCCCGAATCTCAAAGATCGAGGAGAGAGTGGTTGATCTGTCGAAATCCATGAACGGCACGAATCCGGATCGCCGCTCTATTGCGGAAACAAGTGATGGAGCTTCAGTTATGGATGACGACAACCCATTCGAACTCTCCGATGGTCTGCGCTGGTATCTACTTGATGCGTCGGAAGAAAAGCCAGGGGCGCCTAGTACACCAGGACTGGCTAAGACTACCGTTGCTTCGGCCCATGTGGACGCGAAAGGCAGTATCCGTTTGAAGCGGGGATCTAATGGGGGTGGGGCAACGAAGACGTTGACGAAGAATCTTGATAGCAGGCGAAACAGCTCGGCATCGAAGATAGGCACTCCAGTGCCCGCACTGCAATCTGCAGAATCGATCGGGGATGGTATTGTTTTGCCAGCGGAAGGGGATTCGGGTGCACTGCGGCGAAGGGAGGAAGCACCTATTTTCGACGAGGTTCGCAGAGATCTCTTATCGGGTCCTTCAGGCAGAGAATAAAGAATATTCTTTTCAATTCTTTTCAAGTAAATGTCATTTATTGCAATATTTTGTCTCTACTTTTTTCTTTCTTCTTTCTCCATTCTCCTTTTCTTTCTTTCGTTCGTCCAAAACATGTTTGTTTGTCGGCTGATAATTTCCCCTGTCTATTTCTTATATCTCTCCTGGAAATAGGGTGCCAAACGGGACAGAGCTGGTTCTCGACCCCGAACTCTTAGCCGGAATAACAGCGGCCGTGCAAGCGCTGTTCCTTCTTCACCCATCTCTTCGCCGAACAAACGCGCATCGAGGCCACGGCCTTGGGAGAAGCTTTGGTCGTTGGACTACCGATCTGAAAGTCTAGGTGACAGGTGGTAATAGGTAACAAGATCTATTATTTCTCCCAGAAATCGAAGAGTAGATATGTCTGGCAACAGGAAAGTTTGAACCTTGGCCTGGGACACTCTCGCTGACGGTTATCTCGTACGTATTGCATGCGTCTATGATGAACCAAGCTGACACATTAGCCTAAAGGCATGTGGTGTTTTCTTAGGAAACTTAAGGGGTTCGCGTGGATTGGAACTTCTTCCTGGTTATCAAGGAGGATGAATGAAAGGCAGATTTATTGATAGACGGATACACGCACATCTTATCCTTATGTTTGGTTGCCTTTTATCTTATATTCCTTTCCATATTTCTAATTTTACTATTATGATTATTATAATTAGTTCAAGAGAACGAGTGTTATCACACCATCCTTCCCCCCCCCCGCGCCGGGTGATTCAATTAGGATATTTGGTTAAAAAAGAGTAGTGAGGTATGCGTGTGTCTAATGCCATTTGTTTTTGGATTTGGTATCATTCACCGTTGCTTGCATCTTGTTGAATGAAGCATATTACTGCGCTATTTACTCTCTCCTCTTTTATGGGCCAGCTTCACAGTATTGTTATACAGAAGGCGCATGAAGGATATATTCATTATTAATAAATCTAACCCCCTTGGAATTGGTATAGTTTTCCGTTGCCAGTGTATTTTTGCCGTAACCATTAACAAATGTACATATCGCTCTCATAAACGTATACTCGGGTATATATTCAGCTCAGGAAAAAATGCCATTCAAAGAAACAGAGCCATGGATTCCAAGCTATGAATAAACCAAAGACCTCTTATTCGGATTCCTTCTGCTTCCCCCATGCACTACCCATCCCTCCCAAATCCACCAGCCCACTCAAAAACTCCTCCGCCCTCCTCTTCCCCCTAAGTTCCTCAATCTTCTTCCGTCTCTCCTCCTTCGCCTTCTCTCTAGCCTCCTTCCTCTTTTTCGCCATATCTCTCTCCCCAAGCGTCTCCTCCCTAGCCTTCAGTAATTCATCCATCTCTTCTCTACGGGTCGCCTCATCCTTTGAAAATGCATAGAAGCCCGTGCCACGTGTACGGACTTCCGCTTCAGCATCGTAATGTGCCTCGGGGGGAGGGGTTGGAGTGCGATCGCGCGTCTTGGCAATATGTTCCATGCGCGCACTGATGTTGGCATCCGGGTTGAAAGCTGCGGATTGGATTGTGGAGCCGTAAATGAGTTTCGATGGCCGGTTCGGTTTAGCTGATGGGAGTATTATCCTTCTAGTGACGTTGTCATTACCATTATTACTGTTACCGTCCGGATCTTTGCCGTCGTCGTCGACTGCTGTCCGCGGTGGGGCGCTGTGCCGTTGCAAAGCTGCCTCTGCAGCTTCCGCACGGGTTCCTCGACGCGAGCGGCCGAATTCATCGATGTAGTCGACAAGCAAAAAGTCCTCCGTTTCGCGACCGTCCTTGTCTTCGTCCTTGTCCGAACCCGACGGAGAAACTGACCCTCGCGCCCTACGTGCCTTTCTCGCCTCCTCTTCTGCCCATTTGCGATCAAAGTCGACAAGACTGTTACTTCCCGCGCGCCTCACTGCAAATGCCGCAGGGTTTTTCAGGGCGCTTCCATTATCTTCTTCATCGCTGCTGTCCAGGAGGTGTTCGCCCTTCTTCAAATCCGCATAAAGCTTAGCCTTTTCTTCCAGTCTCCGTTTGGAACGGTGAAGTGTAGCGTCATCCACGTAGCCAATATCTATTCCTCGTTTGTGGACCTGATGAATAACGTGAGGCGAGTCTCCTGATATATCCGCAGCGGCGCGTTTCAGTGTATTCTTGTTGTGAACGGAGAAGATATCTGGCTTTGATCGAGAGGGTCTGAGCCGGCCTTTTGTAGATGGCGCACCAGATGAGGAGGTCGAGAGATTCGATTCTTTAGATATAAGGGCGGAGAGATGAGTAGTGAAGGCTAGTGTGGAGGAGGATGTGACGTCTTTTTGCGAGGCGGTGGATTTTGGGCGGCGGATGCCATATAAAGACTGGGGATCTGGCGGCATAACAGAGGCGGAAAGGGAATATCTAAAACCAGAGAGGGGGTATCTGAAGTAGAACGAGTAAGCTATCATATATTTAGTCCATGGGCCATAGTTAAGGTGCAGAAGTAAGCTGGCAGTGTGTGAAGTTGTTGAAGTAGATATTAACCGCTGTAGAAAATCGACGTGGTGGCTGAATTAGTCCGCAGTTGGCTCTCCTATATTTAACCAACTAATTTCTTGCCCCGCCAAAACACCCCGCTTCAACATTCAGTTCTCACCCCCCACAGCATAACGGGGATATGTATTCTAGATATTTTGCCTGGTGATATTTCTATTCAATCCTAGATACTTCAATTGCTACTAATCGTCCCCTTGCAACCACACCTCACGTCCACTGAATCATCATGTCCGGGAAAACCATCTACCTCGGAGTCATCGGTGCGCATGCCGAGCATAGACTTCTTCCCACATTCACTTGAGAAATATATCCCCAATGCTAACAAAAATTCCCTCTCCACAGGAGTTGGTGGCGTCGGAGCCCATTTTCTCACCCAATTGTCCCGTCTCCCCAATGCTCCCTCTCTCGTCCTGCTTGCCCGGTCTTCGCAAACAGTCACCTCCCCCGCGCCCAGCTATTCCCCCGCAATTGCTCCGTCAGACTGGCAATCTGCCTTCTCGACCTCCTCCTCTGCCTCATACACCCAATCCGGAGCCTGGAACCCAGACCAGATCGCCGCATATCTGTCAAAAGCTCCCGGCCGCGCCGTTTTGGTCGACAATACCTCCGACCCCACAGTTGCGGATGCGTATCCCCTCTTCCTCAGCAAGGGCATCAGCATCGTAACCCCGAACAAAAAAGCATTCTCCTCCTCGTTTAATCTATGGAAGAATATCTTCAACACAGCCGCCAGCACCTCCTCCCTTGTTTACCACGAGAGCACAGTCGGCGCCGGTCTGCCCGTGGTCTCCACCCTGCGCGACCTCGTTGCAACAGGCGACCGCATTACTCGGATCGAGGGGGTGTTCTCAGGAACCCTTTCTTTCCTATTCAATTCTTTTGCTCCTGCCACAGCGCAATCTGGCGTTTCTGCGCAGAAATGGAGCCAGGTCGTCGCCCAAGCCAAAGACCTCGGGTATACTGAACCGGATCCCCGCGATGATCTGAATGGCATGGATGTCGCTAGGAAAGTAACCATCCTTGCACGGATTGCTGGCTTGGAAGTGCAGAGTCCAGAATCATTCCCGGTTGAAAGCTTAATTCCCGCTAAGCTCCGGGGGCTCACCAGTGCAGCGGAGTTTATGCAACGTCTTCCCGATTTTGATGATCAGATGGAAGCCATCAAGAACCAGGCGGAGGCTGAGGGGAAAATTGTGAGATATGTTGGCAGGGTAGATGTCGAGGGCAAGGTTGTTAAAGTTGGATTGCAGCAGTTTGATAAGGATAGTGCTATTGCAGGTCTGAAGGGCAGTGACAACATTATCAGTTTTTATACTGAAAGATACGGGAAGAACCCGCTGATTATCCAGGGTGCTGGGGCTGGTGGTGCCGTTACTGCCATGGGAGTCACGGCCGATCTTATCAAGGTGCTCGAACGACTTCACTAGGAGATTGAATAGGACCTGCAGCCCAGGAATTATGTGATGATACCAAGAATAGAAATTATATTATATATACAAAATATGAGGAGATTTAGAATAGCAACGCACTTCAAGACCCGCATTGGTAGTTCAACTTCAACAAAGGCGAAATCTATCCACAGAACAACAAGAAAAGCTCACAAATACTTCTAACTTCTTAAAAACTCTTTCACCGCATCTCCCCACGCTTGTATCCGTTTATAACCTGCCATCTGTGGCATACTGCCCTCCTCAACACCATCAATTGCCGTCACCAGGTCCTCACCCGATCCCTCATGCTTGATTTCCTGGATTGGATATCGGTATGTATGGAATGAGAACACTAGGGCCTTAGACTGTGGTAGACGGTAGAGAGTCTGACGCTCACAGCGCAGGAAGGTCTAAGCGGTTTCCCCATTATTAGTTTGGGGTTCCCCGAAGAGGAAAAATATATAAGGATCCTTCATCCTATAAGGCATCCAAAAGGGCAGGGGTTTAAGGAGAAACTCACATTATCAACATCCAGCTCTTCAAGCTTAATCGGCGTTATCCCTTCCCCTTCCACGGCATGAATGCCTCCAAACGGCGCAAACAGCTCCGCCCCTGTCGTGACACTCCAGTTGACACGCTTGACATACTTGCCCGGCTCCAGCTTGTGGAAAAACCGATCCATACTCTTCTCCAGCTTTTCCTTGTACCCAGGCACCGGTTCGTGGATGTCAGCTAATACTTTGCCAAGTTTTTTCCGCGTGTCGAAACCGGAAGGGAAACATGTCGCATACGCCTGGAGGACGTACTTGACCGGAACTGAGCGGCCGGCAGATGAATCGTCGCTATATATATCCTTCTTTTCGTGCTTAGAGTTTCCGCCCTTGTGGCTGTCGACAGCTTCATCGTCACTATTCTGTTCCGGCAGCAGGATTAACATATCCTCATCCACGGATTTGATCAATGTTTCCAAGATACTTCTTGTCGAACGAGTTGGGCTGATCTGTATTGGGAGGAGCTCCCTCGTGATCAGATTGCGGACCATCAGGGTCGGCCCGGTTTCGAACTCGGTCGGGGCAAGTTTGAACATCTGTGGATATCTGCCGGGTAGATATATCCCCATAATGTACCTATATAGCTCCTCAACCGCCTTGCGGATTCGAGGGTCTGCATCGTCGTCGTCCTTGTTCACGCGGCAGACAACATCGGGATATTCCTTGAGCAGTTCGCGGCGGTGAGTGATCCGTTCTTTGTATGTCTTATCCATCGGGATAAGCTCATTGGGGTCGAGATTTTCGAGAGCTGTGGGAAAAGTAAGCCTTATGGATACATCTCTCACTGTTTGCTTTCAACATGTCTATTGCCGCTTTCTATCCTGCCGAATAGGAGGTAGAAAATGTTGATTTCATACCCATTGTAAGGTGGTATTTTGGCTTATACGGTCTCAACTTGAGCGGCTCGGTCTTTTCCCAGTTGAAGTCCTTTAAGGGTTCAACAGGAGGAAAATCTGAAGTAGATAAAATAGCTTCGAATTTCTTCTGCTTTTCAATTTCTGCTCTCTGTATTTTTTATTTTAATTTTTATTTTTTACACTGAACATTAGCCATATTCAAGAATAACAATAACAATAACAATAACTACCGTTCGAATATTAATGACCATGAGCCTCCTCAAAGATGCAATACAATAAGCCCGCACTCGTGAAATGCGCATATACCCAAGAAATATAACATACCTTGCTGGCCCTTTGCCGCTGCACTACCATCATGAGGAGTGAGCACAGCACAAGCTTGGTCATAGAATTCATCATGGAGAAATACTGGATCAAGAGATCCATCGCCTTGGTGATCTGGTCCCGGTAGGGAACATAATCAACGAACATAGCTGCATGACCCATGCTGCCTGACAGCCTTTGTTTTGTATCTTTTTCTGTTGTTGTGCTGTTTGTTTTCTGAAAGTGCTGGACGGGGGAAGTTTGAATTCCGGTTATAAATAACTATCACCGGAATCTGGGGAAGCTCTGGAGCCGAAGCGTTGGGGGAGCTTACAACTATCTCCTCATACACGAAAGGACAACGTTACGACATTGTCCAAGACGCGCCTCTTGCCGCTGAGATTATGATAGTAATGGGATTGAGGATTCGTAGTCAAGGTGCAGCTGCTAATCATAAAAAAGAGGATTGTCTCTTGAAGAAAGCTGGCACCAAGGCTGGATTTTATCTGGGTTGGGGATAGTTATTAGACTAATTTACTAACTGCTGATCCGCCTTATTCGGGCTGGGCGGCAACCAGAGATCTACAGAATCACTGTTCAGCCTTGGAAATTTACTTCTATTAACTAGTGCGGGGAGAGTGTCTTTGTGTCCGCATTGAAACTCAGGGATCTATCTATCATGTCGTCGACGTTTCCTGTGGCTTTCTTATCCGTTGGATGGGTGAATTTCAACGGCATCTACAACATGGTGGAACCGGCTGCCATCCAGACCTTGCAAATTCCACTCCAAGTTAGCCCTCAGACTGGAACAAAGAAAATCTCTCAGGAAAAGTTAGCTTGAGGTATTTAAATCATTCACTCCCAGTCACCCTATTACTTGGCCTTGCCATGACCCCTTTTGCAAGCAAGCGATAGCGGTGTTTCCGGATCCTACAACCCTGCGGCAAGGCTTCTAGCAGGCCCCCCGTTTTCCAGGCGCCAAAGACAATAGTAATAACCCCTTGGAATAAACTTCCTAACTCACACACTGGGCTTCTAAATTCCATCTTAGGGTTGCGAAACTTTGCAAGTGTGTTGTTTGTGCAGTCAAAGTTTCCCAGGCAATGCGTGTTTGGGGCCTCGAAAGCGCGCTGGAGAACTATGCACTATGATGTTGCAGCATGCAAGGCAAAAAAGGGCTCATGCAGTTGCTGCAGGGACATGGATAGGTTCACCTGGAGCACCTCGGCCCTGTCTGTCTCTGCCAGAGGTTACACGGGTTCTTCAGCAAGACCGAAGGGGAAAGAAAAAGGGGAAAAATCTCATAAAAAGCCAACAAGAAGTCCAGGACGATGCTGCAAAATACAAATAATCAGATACAGAGCTTTGACTAACTCCAAATCAACGCCCACGCCCTGAAACTGCGCAAATCCGTACGGGGGGTGATAAGATCAAACCGGTGATAGGGACACCTCTCCGCACAATAGCTGGTTCACCAGGCTAAGAAACAAGAAAATCCAATAGCAGACAAATAAATAAAGCAACTGCGCATATGCCACCCAAAACAAGTAAAGAGACATAAATTGAAAAGTAAAACGGAGTCCCAGGGGAACAAGGTAACATAACCTAGTTACACACGAGTGAGATAAATCGATATCGACGATGCCCGTTTTCTGGTGGTTGCAGAAGTAGTTGGATACAATATGCGGAACAAGATCCAAGTGTTGGAGTATTTCACAACTTCAAAACAACACATCATCCTGTTATCTGTGGGTTTTCTGTTTGCGCGCAGCTGCAGTCCTACGACCCAGGAGTTGATCAAGGACGATCCGTTATCAGTCTTCGATTACTGACGGAGGTTTGGGCAGGAGTAGCATTTCGACAGATTCGTGTTTGGAATACGGGAGGTTGCTGAGGAGCGGTACGAGAATCGAGGGTATCTGTGAGAGGAAAGCATAGCGTTTATACATGCACACTTGATAGGAAGCGGTGGTAGTAGAAATCCAGAGCTTATCAGAAGATGAAAGATGTTACCTAGCTTCCTCCATCACCGTCGATTTCGTCTGGTTCCGCATACAGTTTCCTATATCTAACCCCAACCCCAACCCCAACCCCTTGCCTTTTCTCATTGTCTTTCCCAGCATCCCCAAAAGCATCATCCTCACCTACGATGCCATCGCCAGGAGAATTAATCTCAAAGGGACTTCGATATTCTTCATCGCTATTTCCCAACTGCTCATTCTCGCCCTGTCCATCTTGTGTCGAACCTCTCAAACTAAATGTCCTCCTCCTTCCATCAGGTCTCTCACTGAAACTCGGAGCTTGGGGCCTCTGTCTCCCCCTCGCCCTGCCGCCGATGATGGGGATCTCATAGGTGCAGGCACGCCAGATGTACAGCAGTATGTCGTAAAGAATTAGGAAAGCCCAAGGGGCGATTATGATTGTGCCTAGAAAGATCTAACACCCATCGAGCAGGAAAACAATGCGTAAGACAGGGAGACAAGGTAACACGACGTGGAGAGGAGAAGGGGGATAGATGGAGAAATTGACATACGAATACCCGAACCAACCATGCTTCGAACGCTGTTAGCCCTGGTGGAAGCAGTGAGTACCACGTCATGGTTGATCGCCGCTAGCCTCAGTCTCGAAAACGCAACGAAAAGAGGCTACTCCCAGGCGCTCTCTTTATGACGTGAAGAAAAACGGGAAGCCTATAGGCCCCCTCTGTATCCAGATCCGAAAACCTCCTACTCTTTTGTTTCCCTCCGCCCCCCTTAATGCTCTTTTTCAGCCCCCTTTTGCTGCTCCCTGGAGTGTTGGAAAGAAGCAGAACAAGAAGCCTTGTGCTCTTCCTAGAAAGCGCATTTGTTTCTGGAAAGTCCAGATATGTAGATAAATATTCTATAATCCCTCATTATAGCTCATTCTCGAGGGGCTCGGGCATGGTGGGCCTTAAGATGACGAGTGTGTGCTTGTTCGTAGCTCTGTGCAGGGAATAAAGAGCGTATTATCTGCAAAGAACTGATGGAAGGAGGTCAGAGGAAAGAGTCTGACACGTTGCGATAGGGAGGCAAGTCTCAGCATCAACAGCCCGTCTTGAGTTGGTTGCCTTTACAAAGGTTGTCAGCCTACGGAGCAGTTTGCGGGGATTGCGCCAGCTTCAGGTCAACAAACCTTTGGGAGGCGGCAGCTAACTAAGGGCTGGAGCACGTGATGCGACCTCCCTGGCAAATGTTTAAAGGGCTTAAGATACGTATGGGACAGTTCGGTTGGATAAACTACTTTACGTTCAATGAACCTGAAGTTAAAGTAGCTATGTAGATATTGATTCGCAGCACTTTTCCAGCCAGAGGATCTAAGAGAAATGATTTTTAACACCCCAGAGATGTACAGGAAAACCCTCTATTTTGTATCGGAGTGATGATAGATCTATCCCAATGCACATTGAAAAAGGAAAAAAAAAAAAAAAAAAGAGAAAACATGTGCCCTACATATCCCACCGTCTAAATATCTACTAAAAAACGCCAACATCGGCATTCAGATACACGCTTGTATATGCAGAAGTCTAAAAAAAGAAAACACAATACCTTTGAAACATAACACATCAGACGCCCCCACCCAATGTTTCATAGAAGTTCCAAAAAGAAATTACCAAGAGAAGAAATATACATAATAACAACAATTGCCACCTCCCATAGTCGATAGCAACCTGCATGCAATCAATTAACATCAGGGGAGAAATAGAAATTAATACAGTACGCCGCGATACTCCTCATGAGACGTATCATCATGACCGCGGTGCGTCGCAGGTGGTCCATGAGAAGAAGTACCAGTACGATTCGACCCCCATCGATCATACGACGCGATATCAGTGGATGATCGAACAGGTGGAGTTTCGATGTTGTTTAGAAGGTGATTCTCGCTCTCGTTATTCGACATATTGTAGAACGGCCGTATCTGGCCCTCCGATGTCCCCTGCCGACTCAAAGGGGGCCGTGCCATTCTAGGAACTACCGGCATAGTGTTGCTATCAGGCGTCCTCGCGTGCCCATGAGGGTTTGTTCCATCTTCCGGCACTTCTCCGCCACCAATGCTCAGCCGTGAAACACGAACAGGCGATGGCGACCGCGAGGAAGCCGGCGTATCCAAATCATTAAAAAAGCTCCTTGGCGTGTGGGACCGCTCACTTATCACATCCTCCGGCCGCCCGTAGATGCCACCGCCAAACTCATCGCGGAAGTCAGGCCTGTCTTTGAAATAGGAAAAGTCAAGCTGGTTCTCGGGGACCATTTCAAACGGTGCATTGGCCGGTGGTCGAGATGCTCTGCCCGGTTCGTTCGAGGACATGTTGTGCAGAGCAATATCGGAGTACTCGCCTGTGATGGGGGCGCCATTGACGCTAACCCCGGCACCTTGGCGTGCATTGAGGATCTTCTCCAGCGCCTCAGCCGCCTTTGCGTGGACCATTGGCGTCATCAGCGGTTTGTAGAGGGCCGGATGGCCGAATTTGGAGGCGATTCGTTCAGCCTTCTTTCCTGATTTGCCCGGGCCGAGGGACTCTACGTCAGACGCTATTAGACGGCTATAGTACATCAGGCCATCGTCAAAGGTGCGCCTGCAGTACCATTTGAACCCGAGCATGAGGAATGGGAGAGGGACGAGGCAGAAAACCATTGTCCAGGTTCCCCTGGATTTCACAACTAGGGCCATGACGAAGTTGGAGAGAATCACGGCGAAGAGCAAACGGTTGAAGAGGACACGCCAGAATTGGCCTCCTGATTCATTTTTGGTGACGAAAACGTAGAGCAGGAGGTACTTTTTGAGCCAGGAGTCGACTGCGAAGTAGAGTGCGGTTACGGGGAGAACCATTGGTTGCAACGTCGCGAAGCAGAGTGCTATTGTCGCATAGAATAAGAAATAGTTGTAATAGCTTGCGTAGGGGAATGGGGGCGGAGCCGTCCATTCGATCATTTGTCTGGGAGTCAATGTCATAAACCACTTGGCAAACCAGATGGATGCCATGTTGACAATCTGGATAAGGTCGATTGCGGCACCTAGGTTTCTCTGCAGGAGCCAAGTGACCCAAAAAGGGGAGACCTGGCAAAGTGCTGTCATAATCTTAAGAAAGAGCTGTCCCTTGACGAGCGCGTCCCAGACGTCACTATTGTTATTTCTCGCTTCGATCACTGCGGTCACAAACGCCCAAATCGCCGAAAATAGCGAAAATACCACCAGGTTGTTAAACACAAAAAAAGCGTATAAGCTATGAATGACATGGCGCTCCCGCGAAGTCTTGGTAATGTCTCCGGCGCGGATTGCAAGACGTCTAAAGACGATAGGAAGGACCAAATAGATTAAAGATGTAAGCGCAGGAGCTGCAATACCTTGTACCGCTGCCCAGGTTTTCGGGTTCGAATAAAGCGATCTTTGGAATCCTTTCCAGACCCGCCCCAAGTTGGATAAATCAGACAGGAAAATGGCTATCATTGCGTTAGGCGCGATCCACAGCACGGTCAGCACGGTCGACCAGATGAAGTTGATGAAGCGTTTCCATTTCAGGCTTTTGTGGGTCAGGGACAAATTATCCCAGATGATATCGTTGGGTCGTGGCGCTAGAGTGATCGTCGTGCCATGCGGATGCTTGTTTCGGGCAGCATACGCCACCGCATGGGCATTTTCGATTGATTCCCAGCTAGCGAATCCGTACGGCATGGCATTCAGGGTATCAATCGATCCGCGAACATACTTGATTTCAACTTCGAGGTCCCTAATGCGATCGGTGAGGTAGTCAATCGCGTCGACTTTGTTTGAGCCATGCTCCTCCTGATATTTTCTCGATGGACGACAAGTGGGTCGTTTCGGGGGGAGTCGGTCTGGATCTTTAAAATACTTGGCCAGTACTGCTTCAAGCTGTCTGACCATCTTCTCATGTTCTGCTATCAGCTTTGGCAGGTGCTTCATGTTGCGGCCGGTCGAGGTTCGGGGTACTGAAGGTGTCACGTTGATCTCGTCTGTCAAGCGCAGGAGGCCCTCATCCGTTCTGTAATCTGGCGGTATATGCCTGACCTACATTGAAACGTATGAGCTATATAAGGTCGGCTTAAATGTGGGGGGATATAAGAATAACGTACCAAAATAGTTCTGGCATGGAGACTTTTCTGATACTCCGAGCTTTGGAAATAATGTCTCCTTAGACCAGAAATGGCCCTGTAGTTGCGCCAGAGGAAGTAGGCAACGATAATATCAAATATCCAAGCACAAACGACATGGCTCCATATGGCCCTGGTAGAGATAAACTGTGGGGTCATGGTCACAAAGGTATTGATACCCGGCACTCTCGATGTGTTACTCTGAGAGACATTGACAGGAATCATGATGAAGCAGCCAATGATGCTAGTAACCAGAAACATGTTCCGGCACATTCTGGTGAAGCGGAGGAACACTGTGGCATCGAGGCCAATGCAGTCCACGAGCTGGCTTTCCGTCGTTTTTAGGACAGGAGTGAGCCAGGCCAACAGACCCTTGCCCAGGGGAGGGGGCGCATGTTTCCGGTCCGCATGCTTGAGTTTGGGAGCATAAACGAGGGAGTTGCGGGGGCGAAAGAGGGAGAAGATCGCCGCGAGAAGAAGCGTCAGTCCTATGGATGTACCAAACGACGCCCAGAACGCATTGAGTTGGAACTGTAAAACAAAACAAGAAGGGTTAGCACAGTTGGCATCAGCATTGGGTTGATGAAGGGGTCTATCCGGATATACCGCTATGACATACAGCAGAACTGAATGGATTCTGGATGAGGCTCAGAAACTGGTCCGCGGGGGACGTGCCCCCGTTCTGGCGAGCTAATAAGATAGCGCCCTCCATGACAATTAAGGCGCGGATATGTTTAAGCAATTAGAAGCATCTATTAAAAATATGGATTGTGCACAGTATCTTTCCTAAATGAATGAATGACAGAGACCAAAGACGAACGAGCAGACATTCCCAGCTAAACCGCAGACGGTGATGCCATCACCAGGCTCCGAGATCCCACGTGAGCAGATGGTAGATGGGCAACCACCGACTGATGAGGATATATCTGGGACACAGGAAGAAGAGAGATAGATAGATGGTGGTGGAAGACTCGCAGATGAATTGGAAGTAGTTGAACCGAAATGCTGAAACGGATAGAGCGGATTATACAGATCCGCCGGCGGGGAGATGAAAAAAAATGTGGAGTTCAGAAACGAAGAATGTGAGAGAGATTAATAACCCCCCAAAAAATGAACGATGTGAGGAAGAAGTGGCAAACCGACAGCATAAGGGGGAGGATGCCAGAGATTCTCAATGTCTGCATACGTAAAGAGCGGGGGAAAGTGAAACGTCTTCTCTTGTCCACCGGAATGATAAATAACAAAATGGGCGTAAATAGGAAACTCGGAGATCCAAAGAAAGACGAAACAAAGTTCCCTCGAACGATGGCTAAGAGTAAGAACAAAAAATATTTTTAACCAAGGTTTCAGGGAGAAAAAGGCCAGCCGCGGATAACCTCTGTTCTTCTGCAGAATATTATTAGAATCGCTTTAAGAATAATAATGTCTCAACTTTTTCCGTCTAAGCCATGCCATGCTGCCTCTTGTTGTGTCTGTCTGTCCGTCCGTTGACTCCATTGCCTTGAGGGGGCGGGCGGCCCATCACATCAGCGCCTCCAGCGTCTGGCACCGCTGGTGGACCGCTCACTGGCTGAAATGTGCGGGTGGTTTGGTCGCAGGGGGTCCAAGAATCCAGACCACCCCCCGACTCCAACGATTGGCATTGATCCACACTTATTATTATCATTATTCATCCTATCCTTTTTCGCGTGCCAGTGGGCGAAAGGCGGGCATGAATGGGGCCATGGAAGAAGGAGCCGAATATTTCACAAGGGGGTTAGTTGGGTACTTTGGTGTAGTTTAGCAACAACTTAGGGCTGGACTGGTCACTTACTGGTTACTGGCTCGCCGGCTAATTAATTCGTCAGCGGGTCTCTTGGACCATGGGCCTTGTGGCGGGTGGAAGGGCGGAAACAGGGAAAATAATTTCATTCCAGTTTCGTTGGATAAAAATAACGGAAACGAGTAATAATCCTGCTCTCAGTTTAGCCTGGGTAGCATTCCCCTCAATTCGTTGGAATCTTAAACCCTTTCACCCAGTAGTTGCAAGAGGGATGCGAGGCAGCGGTAATTAGACGATGGTAATTAGTTGTATAAGTAACTAGTTAGTTACCGAAACCAGAGGGAGGGAGGGGGAGGGGGAGGGGGAGGGGGAGGGGGAGGGGGAGGGAGGGGGGTTGTTCGTTAGCAGGGTAGAAAAAGGTTGGCTGTTCCAACATTCCTCACTAGATGATTCCTGATGAGATGCAAATGCGACTCTGCTCATTGTATGATAGCTCTATCATGTCCACTCCGAGACATCATCGTGGATGCCAGTCACTAGAAGATCCTAGTAAGCTCCAGGACACCAACCATGGAAAGGGGAAACAAATGCATACAGCAATTACGCAATCCTTTTCCGTCCACTCGCCCCCATTCTTTTACAACGCAACGTTGGCGGTGGAGTTGTGCATTCCAGCAGCGGGTGCAACAGCGCTTCGGCTTTCCCTTCTTCGCCGCGCATCTCAGAGCTCCAGGCAGCAGAAATAAGGGCATGGGTTCCTGTGCTATAGACGCAGGGGCTTCTTCGGGGGAAAGGGGGGGTAGCGGTTCTAATTCTGAGAGACAGCAAGCAGCAAAGCCGACATTTTCAAGCCTTCACTTGGCCATTGTCCGTTCTCTCTCCAATTGACTGATCGGTCTGCTGGTTGCAACGTTTTTACTGGTGTATCTGAAAATGGCTAAATTTTGCTGCTCTTGTTATCTCACGCAGCTAACATACGAGGACAGTTCATCTTCTAGACTGACTGACTGCAACACCCGAGACTGAATCAATCCCAGAGCTGTTGTGCCGCTGAGGATATGCTTGCTCCTTTTGCTTCTGTTATGCATACGAGCTTCAAATCTACCCCATCTTCTTTTGCTAGGGCCTTTTTCTCAGTTTTCATATCTGCTGTCAAAAAGAAAACCAATTGGTTCTTTGAGGCGTGAATTTCTTAACAGCTACTTTTTGAGTTCTACTCTGAATGATCAGCTGAATATAAATATAGCCGCATACGGCACACAACTTCAACTTGATCATTCAGCAGACTTAATTTCTCAAATGTCATTCATTCTGCATCCCACTTGTGCGGTGTCCATTCACAACTATCTATACACATCCCTCTCAGGTAAATAGTGCGAGGTGCACTCCACCCGCAGAGACAACAAAAGTTAAGACGTGTAACGGACTATGAGCAAAGATGTTTGAGACTTCTGGCAGAATTCAACTTTGACCTGGCTTCTTTCTGCGCTGCGGAGGCATCCTCACTGACATTTTTGGCCGGTTTTGGGGGCTACATACAAACCGATCGCAGCAGGCATAGTAACATGAGCGTTGTAGAGATCCCCCAATCTAATAGGAGAAAGAAAGGTTGCAATTTTCAAATATCTGTTTTGATGATAATGCAAACCAGCTCAGCAGAGGCCCGCTTCTCATGAGGGAAGAAGACGTTTGGCAAGGGCCATTTCAAAAGGCGGGTTATCCTGCCCGCGGCAGAGATCACTCGGCCCGGGATGAATAGAGGTTAAATGGTCATTGAGCTTGATTGCATTTCTGAAATAATGCATAGTTATGAAGCAGTTGATTAGTTATTGGCATGAACAAAAAATAGGGTTTGAATGACCCAACATGATTTCCGGTCATTTGCAATCATTGCAGCGCCCAAAGGGCGGGCCAAAAATGAATACCCAGCCCTGAATTCCTGAAGATGAAGATAATCAATTCAAAAAAAAAAAAAAAAAAAAAAAATTCGAATCTGATGCATGAAGACTTGTTCTCAAAGAGCGAACCTCGACTACAATCTGCAATGAAGGAGATTGGAGTGTTTGCTCCACACCTACAATCTACACCATTTGCATTCTTGAGTTCAGTGAAAAAAGTCCTTCCAACTTTTCATTCATCTGTTTATTATTAAGTTTCACGATATATAAACACACTCGCTTCGTCACTCGCTCACCCTCATCATCAGTTATACATACATCCAAATTCTTGCACTTTTCTTTACAAGCCGTCCCACCTGATCTACAACTGGTTAGAAGTATTAAAATCATCAAACGCCTCCTGAACTCTAGCACACATTGTCTTCTCACCCTCCCGAATCCATACGCGGGGATCAAAATACTTCTTATTGGGCTTATCCTCACCCTCAGGATTCCCAACAGCACTCATCAGATAATCCTTCTTCTTCAGGACAAAATCTCTCACGCCGGAAAGGTATGCATACTGCAGGTCTGTATCCAAATTAATCTTGACAACACCGTAGCTAATGGCTTCTTTGAACTCGGCCTTGGTGGAGCCGGAGCCGCCGTGGAAGACGAGGTAGACGGGCTTGTTCTTGGAGGAGCCGGTCTTCTCTTTGACGTGGGCTTGGTGCTTGGAGAGGAGTTCCGGGTGCAGCCTGACGTTGCCGGGCTTGTAGACGCCGTGCACATTGCCAAAGCCGGCGGCGATGGAGAAGTAGGGGCTGATGGCCGAGAGGGTCTTGTAGATTGTGTAGATGTCTTCTGGCTGGGTGTAGAGGGAGTTGTTGTCGACGGATTCGTTGTTGACGCCGTCTTCTTCACCGCCAGTGATGCCGATTTCCTATTTGCTATGGTATCAGCAGATGAATCGCCGTGTTTATGCAGAAAGATTTTTCTTCATTTGCGCCAGATGGGTGTATGTATGTGTGTGGGTTTTTCTCAACTCACCATCTCCAGCCATTGCTTCATGGGGGCAGCACGCTTGAGGTACTTGGCAGTAGTCTCAATGTTCCATTCGACGCTCTCCTCAGACAGATCGATCATGTGGCTGGAGAAGAGAGGCTCCTTATGGAGCTTGAAGTAGCGTTCATCCGCATCAAGCATGCCATCCAACCAAGGCAGCAGCTTCTTGGCACAGTGGTCGGTGTGGAGAACGACTGGGATGCCATAAGAAGGGGCAATGCTTCGGATGTAGTGAGCTGCAGCGATGGCTCCGGCAACAGAGGCCTCCTGATTTCCATTGGGAACGCCCTGTTTTTGATTACTTTTGGTCAGTATTTAAAAGTTCGCCCATGCTTTGTCCTCACCGCGGCGTGCTGTTGAATTTACCTTCCCGGCAAAGAAAGCAGCCCCACCCTGGGACACTTGCAGGATGATAGGGGAGTTTTTGTCACGGGCAGCCTCGAGAGCGGCCACAACGGCGGAAGAGGAGGTCACGTTCTGTATTACAGGAGAGAATTGGGTTAGTCAGACTGTCATAACTGATATTGGAGTTGGAATTTAATTTGGACATACAATGGCAGGGATAGCAAAGACCTTCTCCTGGGCATGCTGGAAGAGACGAAGGACATCATCACCAACAATGACACCAGTTTTGCGGGAGAGAATGTCTTTCACGCCCATGATGACTCTATGTATGTATTCTTGGTTGGCGACTCGTCAGCGTTGGTTAAGAGCGGAGGAGATTTGGTGGGATAACTAGGTCTAAAATGGAACAAGCTATGAAAGAGGATTGCCAGAGTTAGTTAGCTTTGAGCCAATAATAAATATAGAGCGTGATGAGGGAATAGGCTAAATGGCAACTATTAGAGCAATGTATTGAAAAGAAGAGCAGAAACAGACGGTGAGAGAAGTGAGAAAAGATGTAAAGCATGTTGAGGCCAACGTGGGTTTTGTAGCATGGGGAACAACGGAGGGGCAAACAAGAATGACTAGGGGGGGGGGGGGGGGGGGGGGTGTGGTCCAATGTCATCTCTCCATGAAACGGCAACAAGATTGCAGAGACTGACAATAGAGAGAAAGGATGGGAGCAAACAAACCGGTTGAGCAGTGGGGGTGATGATTGCTAGTGATGGAAATCTTATTCAAATAATCGAGTCCGGAAGCAGAAGAGGCAGAAGAGGCAGAAGAGGATAAGGGAAAAAAGCGGGTAAATGAAAAGCGGCAAGAAGATCGATATTTTCCCTTCTCAGTTTATTCCGTAGTTATTCCACCTCGGTGTTGCAATTGGCACAACCAGTTACACTCGTCGCATAAACTGAATAATAATGAATGATCTTCTGCGAATCCATACTGCTATATAGCCCACAACATCCTCATCCTCCTCATCTTATCCTCATCCCATCCCCATCCTCATCCTCATCCTCATCCTCATCTTCATCTCCATCCTTATCCCCAACCTTATTTTCTTCTCGATCGTCAGTCTCATCTTTCTTTCCGGTTCTCCCCGCCAATCGCCGGTAACTAACTAATTTAGTTGTGCGATACCACGTCTTTGTATAACAACCCAACACCTCAACTTCAACATTCTTATTTCTCATTCTCAGGCTGCCATCTAAACTTAAAGCTCAATCGTATGGAGACAACTGCTTTATATGTGTCCAGTGGTGCTCGGCCTATCTCTATCTTCCTGCTATCCAATTGGCACAATATTCTTCTTATTATCGAATTCGACGTTTATGTAACTAACTATCCCAAAAAAAAAAAAAAAAAGAAAAGAAAAGAAAAAGACCGGCGTCTCGTGCCTCTCGTTCCCCACGTTACCAACTAACTACATATTCCTATACAGCACATGGCTAGCCATCGGAATAGCCCTGGAAAGTTACCAAAGCAAGAGACGAAAATGCGACTTGAACAGAACAGAAAGAAACCAAAAGAACAGGGAAGACTTTAAGATTAGGCCGAGCTTCGAATTTTTGTTTTCCCCCCCCCATTTTTCACCCCCGCTTGGTTAGTTAACCAAATGCTCATTACATCATCCACCGCAACTTGTTGGCCCCAATGTCCGGTAGTTCACGGTAACATCATTTTGCGGATCATTCGGTTACAAGGGACTTTTTAAATGAAGGATCAGAAGAAAGATTTCCTAAACATCTAGCACACACACACACACACACACATATACATCTGTAGTGTAGCATTATGCGAATATACGTAAATTATTTCTCATTGCGCAGACAACGAGACTGATATCCATGGATGGATCCAATTTCGTGAGACTTATCAATGGGCTTTAAAAGGGATCCATCCATGCTGAGAAACCCCGACATTTAAGACACTTTGATGATACCCACGATGCGTGTGAAGACGGTCCCCCATGCGGCTGCCGGTGTGCAGCCCAGCCTTCTACCTGAGGCAAAGGATTGAACAATTGAAGGCAGATAACATGCAGAAAATAGGGAATGAAAAAATGAAAAGTGAAAAATCCAAATCTGGTTGTGTAAATGAGTATATTTTGCTTGGGTTATCAGTTGTTATTTAATTAATTAGTAGTAAAATGAACATGCCATATGCATCATAAAATCAAGCTTATCAAACAGGATCCTCCAAGAACATATGAACTGTACTGGCTCATCATGCCCCCCCAGGCGCATCTAGAGGCTTCCTGCCGTACGTGAAATGTACCCAGTTGTACATATGTATCTCTCGATTCTTGATATCCGCTCGCACCCCTGCTATCAGCACCTGCGTCTCCGCAATTGTCCACCCCAGAATCTTCGTGAATAGGAAGAGCGAGTACGGCTCCAGCGCCTCCAGGACCTGCAACTGCTGGAACCGACCCAATTCCTTGAACTTCTTGTCCTTGGCCCAGGAACCGATGGGGAGCTAAAACAAAACCAAAAAAAAAAAAAAAAAGATATAAATTAGACAGAGTTTTCAACATAAGAGGAGGAAGAGTGTTCTGGTTAAAACAGATGGAGTAAACGGATGGAGTAAAGGAGGAAACTGAGGGGCCTGGAGGAGGGTCGGAAAATCCCAACCTTCAAAACAATAGTCGAAACATCCTGAAATCCAACCCTCTTCAACTTATCCGGCAGAGACGGGACGACATTCAACGGCTTCCCAAACTTTGCACTAGATTCCAATACCAAATCCCCCCATCTCACTGCATTTTTCGCCTTGGAAAGCGTTCCGTCATCGCTGTAGAATGCTGGTTCAATCGATTGGATCTCAAAGAACCCGCCGGGAGTCAAATGCTTGTATGCCTGTGCGAATAATTTGTCAAAATCTGATATCGATCCGGCGAGTTCGCGTCCGTGGATGAAGTCGAATGGTCGGCTGTAAGGCCATGTTGCTTCGAGATCGTCGATTTCAAACGAGCAGTTCGAGGGGACCCTGATGGAGGAATACAGCGTTGGTTTTCCTTATCTCCACAAAGGGGTAAGGGGTTTCATGCATATCTCAAAGGGTATTTTGTTTACCATGATGGTTGGATGGGGCTTAGATCGTTTCCTATATCAAAACAAAACGAGTTGGGGGTTAACAACTATTCGCTACTGCATCCAGCAACAAGGACAAAATAAAACAGAATATAATAGGATTAATAAGTTAATGCGCACCAATAACCTCTGACTCTGGATGTGCGCTGCAAGGAAAATCGTCTAAGTTAGTTCTAATTTACGAGAGATGAAAACAGATTGAGGATCGCAGTACTGCTCACTCTGCGAAGTCAATTGCCCATATTCCTGTTTTAAGATGTGTCAGGCGAGTTCTGGGAAGAGCTAAACAGAATTATATGGATTTAGGCATGCCATACCAGTGCCTGTGCCAATATCAAGAATCCGCTGTGCATTCGCTTTAATCGGCGAAACATATATATCACCACCTAAAAGTAGTTTATATATATGATGCGTCTGAGTTCCGGGTCAGATGGATCTGTTCCTTCCTAAGGTGCAGTTCTCGAAGCTCAATGCTTCGAACATGCTTACCAAGTCCATTCGATCCTGTTCGATTTCATCATTCGGCTGTCGGATGTATTGAGGAACATATTAGCCACTGGTTTTCCCCAGGATTAACCCGCGGTACTTCATTACGGTGAATGCTCACTAGAATATATTCGCCCGCGCGAAATGAGTTATAACGGCGTCCATTCTATGTCCCGGGGCCGCAGTTGAACATTTCAAAGTCAGTAATCATCCACCCTCGAAGCGTGATAGATATCGTTGGAATGGTGGGGATTCCAGGATGGCTAGTGCAGGGTGAAAGGTTGAACGAACCGCATATCTGGCATGCAGTCAGGATATTTGAAACATAATATAGAGCTGAGGTCAGAATGTAAATCCTCACACATAGTTTTTAACGCTGGAAGCAAGCGTAGTTGCGTAACTGGCGCTGGCGGTGCTGTAGGAATTATCAACAATCGTCCTCAGTAACAACTGCCATCATCCATTATAAGAAGCCCAGTGCGAATGGAAAATTCTGAAGTTGACTGCAACACCCGGAGAACTCACGAGCCATTGAAAGCAGAGTCCGTATCATCATTCTCCTGCGCACACCCGGGTCAGTCTGGGTCGGTGTTCGAAATTAAAAACGAGCCAGCTCCCCTCTCCAGACATACATCTGCTTCAATATTCGGAATTGCAACTTGCGCTTCACTAGTGGTAGCCATGATGAATAATATATTAAAAATATCCAAAGTTCAATGATGGAATTATCCATTTAATGCCCAGAATCCGGCACAGGGTATGGATATTGATGCTGCTCTTGACAGCAGAATCATCAGATCTGAGTCTTTCAGCTCCGCCGTCCGCAGATTGCTGGGGGAATCCGTTTGGATATAAAGCAGGTCAATTTTAGCAGGCTTGACAAGAAGAATGCTGCTGGACGTAAACTTTAGGGGCGCATTATTGTTCATTGTCAACATGGCGCTAAAAGTAAACTATCTGCATTCCAGACCAATTGTGGCCATCAAACTCAGGAGTGGATGAGTCTTAGCGTTCTCTTTTCTTATTCCGTTTTTATCACCAACCCGTCAGGCTTGTCTGGTGGCATGACCGCGTGGGAGGCTAGATTGGGCTGGGAGCTTCGCCGGAAGTGCAACATGTCACCATGGTCAATTAGCCGAGGACCACCAAATGGTGCATCTTTCGAACTGCTCCGCTTTGACCCCCCCGGGTAGTTTGCAGTAGTTCTCAATCCCGGTTCCCCGTAGCTGCCGGCTCAACAGCCAGGGTGAGCCAGGGTGAGATTGAGCGGTTCGGATTGGCCGCAGAACGAGAAACGTGCTCACGGAGCGGAGATGTGCTGACAACCCATAAGACGGACATATCCCCCACCCTGTTCAGTGAACTCAATTACTCAACAGTACAAATAAATTTTTCGTGCCTGTTAATCACATCATTGGTAGCCGAGAGCCTTGCTGCAGCTTGAGGCTGAGGTTGAGCAAAGCGTGGCAGCTCCGTAGTTATAGTTAATAGTTAAACTAGTTAACTAAATCACTCATTGGACCATTTTTCTACTGCTGAGATTTTGATAAAATTCAAGCTTCTGGGTGACGGCCGTGCTGAATCTTGAAACTTGACATCTTCCCTTTCTTCCATTTTATATTGTTGTATTTAGAATATCACCGTCCTGTCATGTCGAAGGCAAACCCGCCAGTTCCCCTCATTCGACAACGGATCCTCCCCGCCTGCTGTTGATGCCACAGAAAGCGGTGACAAAACAGCATACGTAGAATACTTCAATATGCAGCCAAAATTCCCCAGGTCGATGAAAGCAGGCTTTTCACAGAAGCATTCAAGGAACCTTTGCAAGGTTGCGTATCCCCCGTTGCACAGAAATGCTCAACTATCGGCATCAATCCAGCCAGTATCAAAACCTCCAGTTCCTGGTTCTCTAACCAAAGCCTGCATTATGAGTTGGGCGTGTTGGACAGGCGCGTGCGTCGTCTTTGTAGTTCGCTTCGAACTCCGTTGTCCCCACACTGTCATTGGATGATAACTACAGCTTTCCCTTCTTAGAACAAGCTACATGAACTGCGTTCTTGGGTTCATAGCAATGAACCAGCCAACAAAGTTTCAAGCAAGGGCTATGGACCCGAAAGTGTGGTTGACGGCTGCATCTGCTGTCTCCATTCATGTTCACGGTGAAAGGTTCATTAGACATTTGCGGGCGAAGGAGTTGAGGAGGACGGGAGCAGCTTAACTCAAGTATTCTCTCATCTCTGGTTGGGTTTGGGAAGTCCCCAATAATTCCATCCACCTAGCAGATGGAATGTTCGAACAATCTGATTTTGCTATGGTCTGCCTGGCTCCATTGTGTCTGTCAATGAAACGCAGGGTAATTCTTCCCGCTCTTCAATTGGGATGAACTCTCAAAGCGCATGTGGATATTCTGTGCAGATACCCCTGCTTTCTATTGTGGTTGAAGCCGCAGAGAAAGTTTCTACATCCTGCACCCGGCCAGGTCATGCTGCTTGGGGATTTGCGACGTCAGGATAACCCTACATACCCCTTGTAAAGCGTAGAATGACCATTCTGTGGCAAAATGTCCCTGCCATTGTGGCTGCAGAAACTTACAGCGGCAGGCTCTGCTCAGATCCAGTCCGTGGGTGGCCATATCTTGCACGTTTAGGAGTTGTGATAATGGAAGATGATACCCTGAAGGATGAACAGTCACGGGTAAACCTGAGAATCCAAGAAAGGTATAACTAGTTACCAGACTATGATGGAAGAGTATTAATGCCACACAAAAATCTGGCACTCTATCAGTTCAGTCTATGTCAGAAAATGGTCGTCAGAGTCTTTATTGCGCTCTCTTTTTTATGCCAGAAACCAATTCCAGAAACCAATTCCTAGTCACAGCCTCATTCATCCTTCAGGACTCTGATTTTGCTACTAAACGGACCCGGCCACATGGATCTCCGTCCCCCGTGTATCCATGGTATCAATTTGAAGTGGTACTCCAACCGTGGTGTCGGATTTGTCACCGACTGAGATCATCGGCGTGTTGAGAGAACTGCATGCGGCGCGGATTCCATTATGGCTTGGACTCATAAGTAACAACAGCCGTTGATAGGGACGGCGTTTGAAACAAAGGAAGTTTGCCTTGTGATGCGGGAAGCAATTAAGTGATACCTTGTCTCCTGTTCCGCGAATTATGAAGAGGGATCAGCAGCTGAAGAATAATAGCTGCACCAGATCAACTGGCTTCCCTAATGCAGAGAGATCGAATCCGAATTAACCACTCGATTTTCCCACGTCAGACTCGTTCCCTCTGAGATAACTACACACTCCCAAGGTTGGCTGACAGATTCGCAGCCCTCCCTGAGGCTCCCCAAGTTCATTTTCAAATCCACCCCCAGCACCCCCTCATGATGGTTGAATTTTTTCATAGTCGGATCAAACAAATGTTAACTATAGCAATGATGGTTTATGCAAAATATTGCCCCAAACTTCCCAGATGCAGCCTGCTCCAGTATATCACAACCCAAACGCCCAGACACTGAGGAAGAATACAATCAATACTGGTCAACCCTGCCTTTGTTCGACATACAAACTGCTGCTACACTGGGCATACCGATGTGATGCCAGGGCAACAGGAGAAGAGGTCCACATTGCTGAGATCCCACCCACAACTCCAAGTTCAAATAAATGCTTTAGCTCTTAGCAGACATATGGAACGGTGTTGATTTTGTTTTCTTTTACCAAGATATAAACATTACCCTTCATCGTAATACTAAGTCAGCATAAGGTGTACAACATCGGATTGAGGCGGTCGCTACAAGCGCCAGCCGTGATTCTATCGGTTAGGCATCATTATTTCCAGAGACACATTTCCAGATCACATCATACGCCCACACTAGGTGCTTAGGTTGATGCTAATAGAAGCTAGGGGTTTTTTACTTCTTTTTGAAAAGCACTGCCAGGTATTCGACTATCCACGGCTGGCTGGTTGGTTTCCCCGGTGCAGCCACGATTTCTCCTCCAATTTCTATAGAGATACGTAACAAACTGCGCAATATATTTGTATTCAATAGCTAGCAAGATAGGAAGTGCTGGACAGAATCATGCATGCAGTCAAAGTTCGTAGGATACAGTGCGTTCATAATAAACTATCAAAGCCTGGTAATGCGGCAAAGGTAACGTGAAACACTCAAACTTCGCTCGTCAGATATATGGAAGAACCTGGCCGTGATGGTTGGGATACCGTATCTGAAACGCAAGCTGGATGAAGGGTATAAGAATATTTCGTACCTTTGTCCGTCACCGCTGCAATTATCAAAATTCCATCACAAACCAACAGTTACAGAGCCGGCTCCATCCAAAACGCCCTGTGGAGTTAGAGCAGCTGGGGTTCCCCACACAGATAACTAGATGTCTCATGCAAGCTTGAGATAGCAACGTTCAGAAATACCGACTTTTGACTTGGCCCAGGTAAGCCCACATATATATGCAAGTGTATCATATTATAATAGTACTGCCATCCCATCATCATCGGCCATGTCGCTGGGGAGGCCTTGTATGCATTGCTTGATAAAAAATTAAAATAGAGATAGAATCGAGAACGAGAAGGACGAAGAAATATGCTTCAGTCCCTCAGAGAATAAAAAAAGAAGAAGAAGAAGAAGAAGAAGAAGAAACAAGGAGATAGCTACCTTAACATGCAAAGGCGATGAAGATCAAAAAGAAAGCTTCATCAGCAAGAAAATAAAAGGACTGCGAGAAATGGAAGGAAAACAGGTACTCCATCTCCCACCAAGTAAAACAGAATAATCCTCACCAGCATTAAGAACTATTTTCCCCTCCCTCGCTTTTTTGTCCTATACTGCTACCCTCCCCCCAAATCTATTTTGTTGCAAACTCCTTTCATGTTTCAGTATCCCCACTCAATCTCCCCAACTGGCGTTCACATAGTCGAAGCTACTGCTCATCATCTCCCGGTCTCTCCATCTCGTAAAAGAGCAAGTAAACCTCCCTCTGCATCCCCAGCACATCACTAGTCTTGCACTCCTTAACCTTATCATCGCTGATTCTCCACCAGCGGTCACTTGGCCGTTTCTTCCATTGTAACCGCGATGGAATGCCTGTTCCTGGCCCCGTAATCTTTGCTGCCTTGGTGATGGACTGGCGTCTTAAAGAAGATGTGCGTGAAGATGTAGCAGCATTGGGATCTGATGGAGATGGTTTGAGCCGTGGCGTGACTGGTGAAGTGATGGAAATATCCCTGCTTTCTTGTTGCTCTTGCGACGACGGGGTTGACTGTGTTGATGTCGGAGATGGCTGGGTGGGTGCTGTGTTATGTATGCTGGTTAAAACATGAGAAGAGGATGTGGGTAATGAGGGGACGGGGAGGGAGGTGCAGGATGCTGATGAAGATTGGGTATCATCGGACATGCTCAGGGGACTGGCCTCTAAGTCTTGTGCAGCAGCTGTCTTGTGTTTCGGGTTGATACTGGGGCTGGGGGCGGTGGACGTATTCCGACTAGGAGAGCGACTTTGCGAGTAGGAGCGGAAAGTGTCTGGGGTGGAAAATGGGGCATAGAGGTGATTGCGTCGGAAAGACTCGTAATGGCCGCTGTGGTGGCTGCCCTTGTGGCATACTATTCCTAGTAGCTTATACCATTTCTGGTCGAGGATGCCGCCGATAGGCAGTCGTTCCGGGAACGAGACCTTAGCGGCGTTCTTTGAAGAGCTGTTCTGGTCAAATATCGACCGGGATAGGTGTATGGCTATTATTTTAGGGAAGGATGTGATTCGCATATGTCTCGCGATCTTGCGTTTCGGGACGTTTTGTGTATTTGGCATGCTCACGCCCCTGGGGATGGTTTCAGGGTCAATCTCCAGGGCATGTTTTATGAGCGATATCTCATGATCCCAGTGTTTGATTTCCCTCTCTGACAGAGCCTTCTTCTTTGCGGCTTCTTTTATTTGCAGAGCGTGGAGGAGAACACACTTGCCACATCGGAAATCATCGATGTATTCCGTTTTGAGCAGCCCGTCAAAACACGAACTTAGAGTAACAGAGCTCTTCTGGGGCACTTGGAGCGTAAGATTGACGAACGAGGTCGGGTTTGGTTTATATTCAAAATGGCACGATTCGCACTCTATTTGAGATTCCATCTTCCCTTCAAAAGGGAACGGAAACTCCGTATCCAAAGCCTCAGCTCCCGTGTCCAAGGATGACGATCCGTTCTCTAATTCGGAATCACTATCCCCAATACCAGATCTACCCACGGGCTTTGCTTCCAATATCGAATTCACCACACCCGCTTTGAGTGAGGATGCAGCGGCCCTCTCCCGCGCCTTAACACCGGCATGGTATTCGTCACACAGGCGCTCCGCAACAATCTGTAAGAATTCCTGCGCATCCTGCTGATTCCGGCTTATCCGTGTCTGAAACGCAGACTCCAAAGCCAATATAAATGTCCGCGCGGATATCGTCTTCTTATATATGGGTCGCTCATTGAGGCTATCGAGCATCTCTTTCAGCGCTCTGGTGACGGATGCCTGCTGTAGCTCGCGCACCTTCTCAGGTGTCTCGCCGCGGGGAATACTTTCGATATCCGGTAAAGAGTTGTATATTTCTGGCCCTTCCAACTGCCGTCGATGTAGTTCGCGAATTAGGTATAAACGGAGGTCGCCCAGGCCAGCCAGGGCTTGCAGAACAGAATTGATGAAGCAGTCATTGGACGGGTTGTAGAGGCCGACAATTCCCTTCTTTCTCGTGCTAGTATTCGATTCCTCGTTGTCGATCGTGAAATTAGGGCCGAAGACGTAAAAGAGGGTGATAGCGGCTAGGGAGGCGCCGGCAGCATAGGCTGCAACTGTCGCAGGTTTGTCGGGCATAAGACAGGTTTATCGAACTATGGCGCGTAGCATTACCGATCCATCCCCCCAGCAAACTCCGTCTCTTCAAGGGAAGGTGCAGATACTTGTTACTTTTTTCGGCCTCACCCTGTTCACGGAGAAAAATTGAGGAAGGCTTCTCGCTTTGTGTGTGAGGAAATACACAGTTGTAATGTTTGTGTACGTGTTTCTGTCGGTGGCACGGCGGAGAGTCGCAGCCAGCGACGAGAGGGAGGAGGGACCGTCGACTTAATATCCGTAAAATGAATAGATCAAGAATTGTATGGGAATATCATTCAACATCGGAAAATATGAATCAATGTTGAGTGGAGATAATTAATATAATATTGTCGGAGACGCATGCAATGTTGGGGTTACATGCGGCGACCCCGGCGCTTCGGGCCGGCGGCGCTGAGCCATGAAGACCAAATTATGAAAACAGCTCAATCCCTGCCCCAGCTGAAGAACGGATACAGTTGACGTATATTCATGTTAGGTTGATTTGGTACGTTTGTATGCTCCAGAATATATTTCTTTCTCGATTAATGGAAAACGGTCCCCTGCCCTTTTCGCGTTAAAATATTTTTATTTCAAGGATGTTGCCCCGTGTTTAGACCAAAAGTGTGCTGTCACAGCCGTTAAACCGTTTATAAATGCCGAAGACCAAACAAAGCAGCTTAACAGCTCCTGAATGGAAATATTTTAAATTTGAGCCGTGTCTACGAAGTTTTAGGCAGTGTAACTGGTAGCGAAAATACAAGAACCTAATGAAATGAAGGTGTTTTTGAAAGTCCGGTAATGTTTATAACGATAAGGTTGTTATCCTCATATGATGACAAGGGTCAGTCCCTTTTCCTAGGCCTCCTGTTCCCTTTGGTTCCCGAAGTGCGCCTTAGTATGTCCACCAAACCCGAAATCAAATAGAGCAGCATGAAAGTGATTGCTGGAGCTACATAAAGCCACATGAAAAAAAAAGAAGATATAAAAAAAACATGTGCAGATATCAAAGCAAACCCGAAATCAAATAGAGCAACATGAAAGTGATTGCTGGAGCTGCATAAAGCCACATGAAAAAAAAAAGAAGATATAAAAAAAACATGTGCAGATATCAAAGCAAACAGAAAAAGGAAAGAAATTCATAGACAAGAAGAATCATAGCTTCAGCAATTTAACGAGGTCAAACGAAGAACTGGACATGAGATTTCGACTGTTGATGGTGTGCATTTGAATCCCACAGATGCTTCGAGCATATCATCCATTGAACAGGGTAGAATCACAGCCATATTTCTATGCCTGGACGCGACTCCTAGTTCTGCTTCCGATTCCCTCAGTGGCGCGAGGCCTAGGTGCTTTCTTTTCGGCCTTCCCGTTCCCCCCCCATCTCCTAGGTCTACCCGGGCGTCTCTTCTTCTGGACATTCGCCACAGCTGTAACTTCAGTTCCGTTGGTGGCCTGAGCAGGTTCCGTGTCGGTTTTCTGCTTTTTCGCGGCAGGCTCACCAGCCGGTTCCGGGTTTTCTTTCTCCACCAGTGCAGCAGTTGCATCGTCGCGCTCATGCTTATTTCCCGCACCCTTTGAGCTGTCAGCCTGTTGCTCTGCGCTGGAAGATTCAGCAGCTTCCGCTGGGGTTGCGCTGGCCTCTTTGGGCGCGTCCCCGTTCAGCGCGGTTGCGACAGGGGCGTCCGGGGCAGTGGAGTTGTTGGTATCCTTTTTCTCAACTGCGCTGGTCGCAGGAGCTGTGTGTGGATGATGGTTAGCATATTTTCAGTGCGGCCGAAAATACGCGTGTGTTGACACGAAGCTTGTTTTCGGGATGGATGGCGCATAAGAAACGTGGAAGCAAAGCTACGAAGAAGAGAACAACACGCGAAATTATATGACACCAAGGATAGGACGATGATCGCAACACCTGGTCTTTCATTGGATAGCCTCAGACATACATACCTCCATTGATTGCTTCGTTAGCCATGGCCGGTGTGTGCGAAGTTGCAGCTATATAAGATTGTCAAGCTGAGAGCGCAGGGGGTTCAGCGATTGAGCGATGGCGCGAGAGATATAGACAAGATAAAGATTTTGATGGATGTTGATGAAAGAGTGGCTCAAGGAAAAGGAGGAATTGAGCTGGGAAATGATGGAGATGGAGAAAGTGATGGAAGTGCAGGGGAAGTTGGAGGTGGAGATTGGGGCTGGCCTGTGGGGGTGGTTGGTTGTTAACTAGCTCAGTCAGCTTCGGCCCAAGATCGCAGGTTAAACTCACGGCCAAGAAGACAAGACAGACGTCTACTAGCTGCTGCGGAGTAACTAGCCAACTTGATAAAACAATTATTATTAATGAAATGGATTAAATTTAACCAGCTAGTTTAACTAGTTAACTAATTAAACAGGTTAATTGATAAAACATATAGTAAATAATGGGACTGGCTAGTGAAGTATTTTTAGAGAGGCAATAAGTTAATTTATTTAGTTACCTACACGGCAGTTATTCCGAATGTTCCCCTTGAAAACGTCAAAAGTCAGTTTTATCCGGCCCCGAAAACACTGAACATTGCTATAGGAACCGAGGACTTGTAGCTCCTATAGTCTCCCAACCATTCCGCAATCCCCTATGAAAGTCCCCAAGGGCGTATGAGTTTTTCTGCTGCTGGGCTCTTGTCCATTTATGTTTCTGTGTCTGATAACTATACAACTATAGTAATATATATTGCAATCTCGGACTTTCTCTTCATCATTGACCCAATCCCCAATCTCTTAGTTACTATTCTCCTGGTCGAGCTCGTCCTTGAAACCGCAGACAATCTGGAGTTAGGATTTGATATCAACATCAACACGCTTCTGGACCGCCATTATATGCGATTTTACATCCTTGTCTCTACAACTCTACAAAATACAACGTGGCCTTGAATCGTAGCAAATCAGCGCATCAGCGTTGATATGGACCGCGCAACCAAGAATGAATGACTTGCCCAAATTCTCCTCGGTTTTAATGATGAGGAGAAACACACGGCTTAAACTAGCAGGGTTTCTGATTTCGGATAATTCTTCAGATGCGCAGGAGTAAGCGGCATGCCCCCCCAATGCCAAGTTCCTCCAAAAGCTGATGGAATTGTCCAAACCTCGGGAACAGAATGTAAAAAGCACCTCAATCCATTGCGGCTGTGAATGGCCAGGTGGAATTAAGACAATTTTCTGATGAAGAAAATCCATTGCGCAGTAACGGGAGACCGGGAAGGAGGGGGAATCCCATTATTATGCGCAACGCATCGCAGGTCTTGGATGCATGATAACCGAGACCTACATGAGAAACAGCTTGATCAAAGCATCAGGAAAAAGCCAAGTCAAATTTACTATTTGTCATCATCACGGAAGTCAGGGTATTTCCTGCAAAGAGTGGCTTCTTATCGGCCCCTGCTGCTTCCGCCTTTTACAATATCATCTTCTTCTGTTTATGAAGAAATTCTGGATCTATTACTTCAAGACGATGGTATGCTAAAAGCTCCTGATATGGATGGCCAGACAGCGATGATTTTACTACAGAATGTAGGGGGTGAAATATTGCAAAGGAGCGGATGTATGCTGTGAAAGCCTGTTCCCTGTGCTATTTGCCTTAGCAAATAATCAGTTGCTTCATCGAGGATGGTACAGATCACTTCAGTTGTACAAATACAGACAAAGTTTGTCAGTTGTCCCTCTTCACATGTCTGCCTCAAGGGCAAATAAAGAAATAGCGCAGCTGTTCAATCTGAGAGAACCGTTGGTGAAGAGCTGACCTTTCTCGATTCTGGCTGTCGGCTCCAGATAGAAGCGTCCAGGGAATAATCCCCCGTTCAGCTGATAGAGCTGGCTGTCTGCTAGCAGAAGCAGAGCAAGCCCAATGAGAGCCATGTTCTTCTGGATGGGGAACACTTTTCTGAACCTTACTGTGGACACGTGAAGGCTGTGTTGAGTGCTCCTTGCGTCCGAACCGCGCACTCGTCCCGACCGGTTTGTTCGTAAGATTGGAACATGGTGGTGATTGCAGGGACATGTTTTTTGAATTTTGGATGGGTTGACACCGCCAGCCGTGGGTGCAATGAACAGGCACAGGAGAGGATTCCGGTATGAGTGTCGAAGTTAAGCGTGGGTTGCGGGGAATATGGTCGAAAAGGTGTTTTGTCTATTCAAATATACCAATGCTCAAAGGGTTTGGAGAGGATATAACGCCTCCTTGCTTCTTGCTGTAGAGTTGAATACCCTCAGGCCTTGGCGCCGTGATTCGTTCCGGTCATTCCATTTTCCACAACTTCTTCTTTGGAGCGAAGGAATTCTCGAGAGGCTTGGAAACGCCAGGCCCACATAAGTTAGCGCCCTGCTGCTGAATCAGCCCTTCCGTAGCTTGGCAAAAGCTTAACTTCAACTTTGCGTAACCAGAACGCACGAACATCAAGTCAAATCTTCAACTTTCCGTTCGTATTCTGTATGATACACGGAGATAATAATTCCCTTGATGCCAAATGCACACTGCAAAATCAGTATGGTACAAATTCAACAAATTAGCTAGAATCGATTTTCAAACATATGAAATCGGAGGGTCAATGCCGGTCGGATATTTTTAAATCGCAACCTCATCTGGATTGCGGAATTATATTCTGAGGAATCATTGGATCTCAGAGACTTCAGATCCCATAATTTTTGCCACTATTATTGCTTATTTTAGAGCTTCCATTCCCTGATTCCATCCCCTTTCATCTAGCAATAGTATCGTCCTCTTAGACTCGTATTTCCACTTGCTGCTGTTGATTTTGTGGGTTAGGTCGTAAATGAACAGTGTATTCTTCGCACAACCAAGGCAGGCTCTGCCTCTGTTAAGATGCACTCAAGAACTCATCGTCCAGTAGAAGTGTCCGCAGAAAGTGACAAAACGTCAAAGATTTTCTTGATTGAACCTCAGCCTGGAAAAGTTATAAATATAACTAAGTTACATGCGAGATTCCCACCACTGAGCTACAGTAACAAAATCGTGCCCATCTCGCAAAAAGGACGATCAAGAGAAAGATCCTTCCCACTGCTTGGCTAAATAGAAGGTTTTTCAATTTCCCCTGTGTCTGTATTGATATTTTGCGGTTCCATCTGGTCTTTCTCGGTAGACTGGTTATGCAGTGGAACGGAACAATCTTTTTCGTTATCTACGGGCCCTCCTTTCGATCGGGATATACCAGTAACTGTGAAACTGTCACACGTGTACATTCATCTTCTCGGGCTAGAAAATTGTGCGAATATTTATAATTCGCACTTTAATTGGTCAGGTATATGGCTTGGACCACACAATAATGGCACACGTCAACACAGAGGAGTTGGGCTTGTGAGAGATATTTATGGTATATGACTTGGAAGCAGAGTATCCAAGACGATAGGATAATATCCATCTTCGCTCAGCGTGGTGGTTCGTGTCGTAGCATCTCCTTATCCTCAAGCCTCGATGGCTTTCTGCATTTGAATTTTGCCCCTCTGCCGTACCTAGTGCTCCATAACAATGCAGACCGGGAAGGTATCTCCAGCTTCACGTTAGACAGCGGCGTTATCCCGAAACGTTTTCAAGGCAGTTTGGCTCGTCATTGGGACATGAATAAACGCTCTGTGGCCTTCCAATGCTAGGTGATTGTTAACTGATATAATTCGCATGACTTCAGCACCATCTCTTGTTGTTCTAAAACTCTTGCTATGCACCAATTTCCGAATATGAGAGGAGATATAGTATATAAGGCGTAATAATAGATTCATTGCAGACACATTCCATTCAATAGCTGACCGGATGCCAAGGTAGCTTGTGGATTAAACCTCTCTGATGACTGCTCGGATGCAAAACGTTCATCCCCGATAAATTGTTTGGCATGTGCCAGCAACCATGATGCCTCTGAGTACTGTTTCTGCTTGAGGAACAGCTGTGCGGCGTCCAGCGATAGTCGCAACAGGTGTTTCCGTCTACCGGGACGGATTTGTACTTCTGGTTGTAAGGACATGCGCTTGAGATAAGATAATGCTGGTTGGGCGTCGGGTTTGGTTGGGTGGTATAAGGGTAAACCTGCTCCCCAGAAAAAGGTGTCCTTGGATAGATGGTCAGAGAGCCTGCAAAATTCCTCAAATATCTCAACCGGAATCCCTTGAACATCGGGGGTTTGGTTATGACTAGAAATCCACGCGGCCAGTTGGCATCCTGTGCTTCGCAATGCGGCGCAAAATGGATTTCTCTTCCCGTTCCAGAATTTATCGCCAGGAGGTAATAGTTCACAGGTTTGAATAAAGTATTTCAAGGCGGATTGAATGCCATGACCATGCTTTATCTCAGCGGTGACGAATTCATGCAGCAGGTTCGTTAAGCAGAGGCGGCGGGAGGGTAAGAGGGTATTTGCCAGTTCCCGGGCGAAGTCAGGCGATATTGGGGTAGACAACATCTTTACCCAATCCATAATTACGTATTGCAGCCGGCCAGCAACCATATACGGCACGACCATAGACATGGTAACACAGCTACCAAAAAAACATAGTCTTGATTTCAAATCCGCAGCGGAATACCACGCAACGATCCTCGAGCCCACTGCTGATGACTCAATGGCATCAGATGGTTTTGACGAGAAGTGGGGGAGCGAACTGTGGGCTTTAAGGCAGCTTGATAGGGTATTATGGTCGGCTCGTCCAGATGCAATCAACTCGTCCAACAGTCCTAGAGGATTCTCTGATAGTTTCCTCTTCACATTTGCTGTATCTTGGACATTATCTTGTTGGCCCTTCCGTGGCAATGGCTTGTCTGGAACGATTCGGAAAAGAGGATGGTCGAGGATTGAACTCAAGTGCTTCTCCGCATCTTTACTTAAGGTGCTGTGTCTATTGCTTGGGTTATCGGGATGGCGCTTGGGTGTCGAATATTCTGTCGACCGCACGGAAGGCTGATGAGGCTGCTGGCCGCGGAGGAAGGACAGAAGTCGGCGGGATTCCTGCGCAAACTGGGCAAATGAGGAACGCTGTTTGGACAATGACCTCAGGCAGATGGCTCTGGTAGCCTCCATTCTATTTCATAATTTAGCCCGCCGGGGATCCCTTCGCAATTGAGAAGAAGATGAAGAAGGAGGAGGAGGAGGCGGAGGAGGAGGAGGAGGAAAATATAAAATATAAAAAATACAAATCTTCTATTCACAGTGGGATTCAGTTGCCCGTTTCCAGCGCAGGGTTAATCGGCGTTTGAGAAGAAGTTGTTCCAAGGAACTGTAGATGAGTAGGATGAACCGTTGTGCCAGTTTGCTTGGAAAACCAAAGGCCAGCCAGATATGTATGTTGAATGCGTCAACTGGATAAAAACAATTGAGATACGAAAGAGACAGCTGATAAACGATCCAGACTCTCTGTCTCCATGGATCTCTATATACATCCCTCATGTAACTACATCAGTGACAGATGGTTGGTGAGGTTGTGGTTGGTTGAAGCATATCCGACTTAGCGCCTGGTTGCGTAAACTATTCCTCATTGAGACTGGCGTGATCAGTCGCCGACCAGCCCTTTCCCTGAGCCTCAAAGAAAGAACGAAACGCGAAACTTTTTGCCTTCCACTCATCCATCTCCTGCCATCAACATCCTCCCTCGACTGCTCACATCTCTCTCTCTCTCTACTGCCTCTCCTGGGCTCGTTCTCTAGCTACAAGAGACCCTGCCTCTCCTCTTGCTGTTAGCTCTTGTCCCTTTGCCTCCATCCTTGGTCTTATCGTCAGCTTCCCTTCTTCTCTCTCCCTACTCCCTCTTGTTACTCCCTGACCTCGTCAATCCTCGCTCTCACACTCCACCCCTCTCCTGGCACACTAGCCTGGCTTCTTCCTCGCATTCTTTAATCCCTTCTTTTCACAATCAGACAGCCATGTCCGAAGTTCAATCTAGGCCATCTGCCCCTCGCGGTCGGGGGTCAGCTCGTGGCGGTAGAGGAGGTTACAGCTCCAGAGGTGGACGATCCAGCAAGCCTACCAATGCAAATTCAGAGAATGCCCCCACCCCATCGTATGAGGACGAAGGAGAAATTGGTCAGCTGAAGAAAAAGCATGCCGCCAGCCTAATCACCATAAAAGAGCTCTTCGCAGACTGGACCGATGAGGACCTAGTTTTTGCCCTGGAAGACGCCAATGGAGATCTAGAGATTGCGATTGAGCGCATCACTGATGGTTAGTATGGTCCATTGTCTTCTGTGGCAAGATGTTATGGGTTTTTAAAGTTTAATTCAATTTGATATTGACTGGTTTTCTTTTATTGTTTAGGCAATGTGTCGCAGTGGGGAGAGGTCAAAAAGAAGCACACCGATCGATCGCGTGCCAAGCCAAAAGACCCTCTCTCACAGGCAGACTCCCTTGCTGCTCCTCCACCAGCCCGTGGAGGTCGTGGCCGTGGAGGACTTGACATTCGTGGACGTGGTCGGGGTGACCGTGGACGTGGAGGGCGTGGCGGCAGAGCAGGCGTCCATGTCAATGGAGCTCGTACTGAAAAGCCTGCGGCCCAGCCAATTGAAGAGCCAGAGAGTGCTCCTGTATCTGACGCTTTGAGAAAACCAGAAGAGCCTGTGTCTACCACTAGAGACAAAGTGGTTTCCACCGAAGCAGCCCCGTCCACTATTACGAAGGAGCCCTCATCAGAAGCATCTCCACAGAAGAGCAGCCTGATCCCAGAAGGCTCGAAGAAAGGCTGGGCTAGTTTGTTTGCTCAACCAGCTCCACCTCCGCCTCAGAAGAAGGCTCCCCCACCAGCTTCGGCAGCCCCAGTGCAGCCTGCCGAATCACAAGTCAAGCCCATCGAGCAACTCTCTCAACAATCAAAACCTGCCCCCGAACAGCCAACTGCACAGCCTTCAGAACCATCGACCACTACTACTCCATTACCCCAAGCTCCCGTTCCAGTGATACCAAAGGACGAATTGACTCAGTCAAACCTAGAGCGAGTTCCGGATATATCCCACCCACAGCCTAGCACAACAGCGGCTAGCACAATGGCCAGCATACAGGATCAATCCAGCGTGGTTGGTGCCGCTACCGCTCCACAGACCCGACCAATGTCGGGCTATGCTACAACTGCATATAAGGCTACAACTGGGGCTGGACGAGCAGCAAACTTGCAGCGTCGTGTTATGGAACAACAAGAGGCCGTCGTCATGCCAGGAAACCATGCAGTCGATCGGGCTGCTGTCCAGTTTGGGAGCATGGGATTGAACGGACCAATTGATGACGTAGATATTGACGACGAGAGAGAAGAACCGGAAACTCGACATCAGCCTCCCCAGCATTCTCCCGTCGCACCTCGCGCCTCGCTTCCTCCCGCCACCCAAACTCAGACACATAAACCCCAGGTCCATCAAGCCCAAACAACACAGGCACAAACGCAAGCAACAGCAGAAGCTATTGCTGTTCCCCGCCCGGCTCCTGGACTTCCTCCTGTGGCTGCAGCTACTTCCACAGACACCCCGTTCAACGACTTTGCGCGATATACAGAATCGCAAAAACAATATGATCCCTTCAGTCAGCAAGTTGAGCAGGCTCCCCAACAACAGAACCAGGAACCCTTCTCCAACCAAGCTCCCATACCATCTCAACCCACAGCAACTACCGCTGCAGATTACTCCGCATTCTACGGAGGTGACCAAGCACGACATCCTTACTATTATGGTTCGTACAGCCAATCCCAAGACGGTGTTGCGACACAGCAGAGAGCTGGAAGCGGATTTGGCGGTGTTAGCGGTGCTGATGCCCAGCCCCAAATCGCTTCCACCCAACCACCAAGCCGGTATAGCCACGTGGAAGCTCCTAACAGTGGCCAAAGTACACCTAACCCCACTCTGCCCGGCCAAACTGCCCAACCCAATCAGCATTTGCCTCAGGGACAGGGTGCTCATAGTGCCTACAACTATGGGTATCCCTATTATTCTAACCCTCATTATGCGAATTCATATATGAATCAAATGAACCAGCATCAGTATGGAAGAAATCGTCCGATGTACGATGACGCACGGAGGTACGAGGAACATTACCTTCATAGCAACCAGTTCGGTTATGGAAACCAGTATGCGGCTCCATACGGCAAGGGAACCGGCATGTACGGACAGCCTCAGCATGGTTTTTCTTATGATCATGCCTCTACTCCTGCTACCGCAGCTACGTTTAACCAGGGTGCCCCCGGCCGCGATACTGGGTACGGTCGTGCGGGATCGACCCAGCCGTCGGAAGCCCAAACATCGGGCCACACCGCCTTTGGCGCTATTCCGGATGTTTTCGGGCGGACTCAATCAGGATTTGTTCAAAGCCAACCCATCGCCCAGCAACAGCCGGCCAGCGCGGAAGAGGCGGCAAAGGGTTTCGAAGCACCCAAGGCAGGCGGCCCAAGCCCTTCACTAGCTCAAGCAAATCGTCCTGGATCCGCAACTAACAGCGTCCCCGCTCAACCCCAGGCTGGTCAGGCCGGTCTGCCCCCGGCACAAGGACAGCCAACAAGCCAGCAGGCATTTGGCACGTATCCTCAGCTTAATCCACAATACGGTGGACTTGGAGGCCTTGGAGCGCACCACCAACAGGCTGGCGCCAACGCAACTCATCACCAGCAAGCTAGCGGATATGGCCAGTACGGAGGAGCAGGGTTTGGCGGCAACTATTATGGAAATACCGGACGCGGTGGAGGATGGGGCGGCAACTATGGTCATTAAGATGTCATAACAAGAACCAAAAAGGAAAGAAGAAAAAGCTTGGATGGGTTGGCGAGTCCCTTGAGCACAATTGTTAGGCCTGGGGGCTTTTTTTTTTGCTATCCATGTGTAATCTCTTCTCTTTAACTGGAGTTTGGGCATGTTCCCTTGTTGTGTTCACTTCAATGTGGCTCTTTTTCATTTTTCACTTTTCGTTTTATTCTCTCAATGTTATTGGTTATCTGGCATGAGGGTATATTTTTTTGTGAGATCAACTTCTCCGCCCAAACCAAAAAAAAAAAAAAATATCACCGTGCCTGATGTTTCTGTTTTTACCCTTCATTTGTCCTCAGCTGATTCATTCTCCTCTTTCCTCTCATCATCGTTTTCCTTATGTGATGCTCTTGTTTTTCACTTATCTCCCACCGCTCTATCCAAACACAATCACAGACAACTGCAGACAAAACCGCAGACAAAACCGCATATATCATGATGACCCCTTCTTGTACCAACTATTACAAACTTTCCATATTCGGGAGACTGGACTGGCTTGCTTTTTCCCTTTTCTTTATTTCATAAACAACAGCTTCAGTTGATGATATGGAATGACAGGCATGCAAAACAGAATGACTTTTTTTTTTTTTTTTTTTTTACCAAGGCACACTCCATTTCCTCATATCTTTTGCCTTATACTTTTATTGATCGAAAAGGCTTTGTCGCAGAGTCTGACGCCAAAATGAGAAATATGCTTTTGTTGTCTTCCGCTTCTCCCATCGCCATCATTCATTCTTGCTTGCTCCATTTCTCCTATATGATTTTTCAGGAGGCCTGGTTGAAACTTCTAGGCCCGTAGTTTCATAGGAGTAAACGCGATAAGTAGTTCCTTGGGGACTTAGCAGGGATGTACGTTGCCCTTTACATGGTAACCCCCCGCGTTTCTACATTTCCGCCGTAAATAGCGAGGTTTCTATTATATTTAGTAGTTATCAGAGCAGCGCGGTGACGAAGATCAATCTAATGGATTGTCCCAGAGGCTCGTAGGGGATACTAGGCGGAGCGCATGAGCAGACTGCAACACCGAACTGATCTGGGCATTTTCCCTGGAACCTAATGAGGCACCCAAGAACAGGAAACGTCATGGCACTGTAGGTGAGCAAGCCCGGCAAAGAGAAAGTAATAATACTGGGAAGAGGGAGGATTGTTGCTTGGTTTCAGTGGCACCTTGTTAGGGCTGGTGAGTTGGTGTGACTCCCAGGTTGTTGTTCGTATTTGGTGACGTTGGCCTCTGACTCCGGATTGGCTGTCGGTGCGAGCGCGAACCGCATTTCTTCTCGGCTTCCAACTCTGCTGTTCCTGAATCCCGATAACTGACGTTACCTTGCAAAATTCCTGAGCAGCACCAACAACATCAGCGACGTAACTAAGTGCAATAAAATCAATAATAATACCCTGGAGCAAGTCTGATGGTAAAGGTTCAGGATGTTTGCACGATGTATGCTATCGAAGGTCCAATTGCTTCCTGGACACGGGCTAGCCACCGCCAGTTGCGGCGCTTCTCTTCTACTTTGTTCTCCTGTAACTAATGAATTGGTACGTTCCCAACTTCATAGCTCCAACATCTACTAACAGTTGCGAATATGGGTAGCTCCGAAATTGGCGTTTGTGCATCCCAAGCACTTAATAAGTCAATAACAGCCCCTGCGCAGACGACAATTCCGAAGTTAGCCAGGTCCCTCGCATAGCTGACCAACCAGCTTTGAGCTTGTGTGGTCTGCTAAACGACCGCCATCGTCTTGCGTGGCTAACTTGCGAAAGCTGGTGATGACGCGGAGTTAGCAGAACGGTAGTCATCGTATACGAGCTAAAAGCGTTTCCCACAGCAACAACAGCAGGAAGAGGCACTCGTCAAGCCATTGGAAGCAATTACGACAGTCTCATGGTTTCTTTCGCAGTTTTGTTGGCCCTTGTCCACTGCGCTGCTCCAAGGGGGGAGATAATGTCATATACCCCGTTCTGCTGACATCTTCATGGCTTCATGGGTTGATATTGACCAGACAGCCATCTCTCCTGTTATTTGTTATCGTCTCTGTTTTAGTTCAGACTATTTACAAGGCAGTTTGATCGAGATGGGCGTCAATTATTCAGTTAGCGGATGGGAGAGTGCTTTTGGGGCCGTATATTTAATCTCCATGCCCTCCCTCTGCTCTTAGGCAATTCCACCAGTCAATGCAGCAATTTCATTTCTTTCAGTCATCGGAGATCGACTGCTCTTTGCTTTGCTCTTCCTATTTCCCCCTCTCCCTGTCTCCATATCCCCCCCCCCCCCCCCCCCCCCCCCCTCTTTATTTTTTTCTTTTTTGGGATCCGGCTTCGTTGAAGGAAGAAAAAAAAATGAGGAACGTTTGCCGTCTGTATTTGGATAATGATGACACCGGTTGGGGCTACTGTCCCTCCATCCCGGCAGCTATTCTCTTTACAGTGCTGTTCGGATTGACATCGCTCGTCCATATGTTCCAATGGTATACCTTTCGAAAGGTATATTTATTTATTTTTACAGGAAACTCTTCTCTCATCTCCTCGCTCTGTTGTCGTCTATTTTCATTCCTTGAAGCATGTACTATACAAATATGCTAACATAAACTGTTTCTACCCTCTCTACCAGAAACTTTGCTGGGTGATAGTAATGGCTGCTCTATGGGAGACAGCCGGCTTCACATTCCGCATAATCTCCGCACACAAAATCATTGGCCTATGGCACTTCATTCCGCAGCAACTGTTCGTCGTTCTCGCACCTGTATGGCTCAACGCATTCGTCTTCATGGTCATGGGACGGATGATCTATTTCTTCATTCCGGAGAAGAAGATCTACAGCGTCAGCGCCAAGCGGATAACTGTTGTCTTTGTCGCGCTGGATGTCTTCTCTATGATCGTGCAGGCTTCCTCGTCTAGCTTGATGACCTCGGATGATGGCGATCTCGTCAAGATTGGCATCAACGTCTGTAAGCATGATGATGTGTTTTTTCTGTCTCCGAAATACAGCCCAATCCTCAATTGCTAGGCCCTCTCGGCGTACGAGTTCATGCTAACGCTGGTTGAATACAGACATGGGCGGCATCGGCCTCCAAGAGCTCTTCATAATTCTCTTCTTCATCATGGCCGGCCGCTTCCAATACCTAATGACCCAACTCGAAATCCATCAACCACAACACCTCCCGTGGCGCCGCCATCTCTACTCTCTGTACGCCGCACTAGTCCTAATCACCATCCGTATCGTATTCCGCTTAGTCGAGTACTCAAGCGGCACAGAGAGCGGCCTTGCCATCAGCGAAGCGGCCTTTTATTGCCTCGAGGCCGTGCCGATGTTTACCGGTCTGGTTTTGTTTAACGTTCTGCATCCAGGACATGTCCTTGTGGGGCCTGAAAGTGAGTTTCCCAAGAAGGTTAAGAAGAGTAAGAAGGACGGGGAGGCGGGGAGGGACGGGCAGAGGCAGTCCTGGAGGCGGCTGGGTCTACGTGGTGAGGATATCGAGTCGGGAGATGATTCGAGAGGCGGAGGGTGTTAATGCTTGCTATGAGGCATCTATGAGAACGCCATTGCCGCTGCGGGAATCACCGCATACAGCACGATATTCTTCTGATCGGCATGCACGATGGATAGGAAGACGCTCTTTTTTTTATTGGCTATTCAATTTTTCCTACTTCCGAAATGCGTTTCCTGTTAGGGTTTTTTTTCCTTTTGTATCTTATGTTTTACATTGATATTTCTTGTCTTCTACGTCTCCGCACATATATGACCGCCTCCTGTCCCGGCCTCTCACATATATAATTGAATGATAGTTAAATGTTTCATAGTGTAAATAAATCATTGTTGTTTGCAACTCGAAACTTTTCCCATCTTGACTCTGCTTTTATAGAAACGATTAGTTACCTGGGCTTTTGACCTGCATGGGTTAGTTAATAATAAATATATATATCCATCAATAATATCATTGCTAGTTATTCGTTACCTGTTAAAAACCTTTTGTCAATTGTTTTGACCTCCTGAGCGATGCGATTATTACCATTCTCAAAAGAGAAATATAAAAAGAATACATTACTTGAAGTCTGAAGGAACCCCTTGCAATGCAAAATATTGGAATGGAAAAGTTTCTTTTACAAAAAAAAAAAAAAAAAAAAAAAAAGAAAAAGAAAAAGAAAAAGAAAAAAGGAGGCGGAAATCGTCACCAGGATGATTTCGAGCCTGCCAAGAAAATTTCTAGAAAGTGTCAATGGATCCGGTCCAAGGTTGAATAGACTGGACTGAAGGGGGAGAAAGATAAGAAAAAGAAGCAAAGAGAAAAATAAAATGAAATATAGAAAAAAATGGTATTTAGCGTTGCTTACCCCCCCCCTTCTAGTCCTCACCCACCTTGCTCGCAGCATCAGCTCCACACGTCCCCACAGCCTCCAAGGTGGAGTCATCGTCCGCTGCCACTATCCCAAGCCCGCGTCCTCCTTCCCTATGATAAGGCGGGGTCGCATTCTTGGCCGCCTCAGGCGAAAACCTCCACACACCACCCGTCTTATCACTTTCGATACCACTACAGTTCGCATCTGTCCAGCCCAACTTGGCCGCCAATTTGAGAAACACCTTGTCGTCCTTATTGAGATCAATGCGCTTAAAGAACCGCCTCTCCCACTCCCGGCCCTCTTCTTTTTCAATCTTGCGCAATTGGCGTTGGGCAACTTCAATCTTCGATTTGGCGGCGGAGGTCGCGTCCATGTCTCCGCGGGCAATTGCGTTTGCAACGTCAAGCCATGCCCTGCGTGATTCGTACAGGTCCTGTTTGTCTAACGGGGCGATTGTGAGTGGTGTTTTCTTTTCCGTCTTCGCGCAGTATCTGTCTATCTCTTGCTTCTTGCCGCGGGCGCTTTTGATGATGAAGGTGTTCGACCATTGGCCGTCGACGGTGTAGAGGGGCTTCTTTTCTCCTTCGCTCTCATGGTACAGGATGGCGCTGAAAGAGCTTTTCTTCCCGCTCACCCAACCCTTGCCTGAGTATTCGATTTTGGAGACGTAGCCTGTGGAATTGACGATTTGGGTGTATCTGTTCAGCTCGATGAAGGGGGTTCCGTATATCAGAGATTCGATATGGAGTGAGGGTAGAGTTATAAGGTACGTTTCCCGTTCTGGGGATGGGTTGTCTTCTGTGGATGGCGGCGTTAGGGAGTAGATGGCATGGCCGATTTGCCTCACATTTATCGTGCTTGAGAAGGAAGCTTTTTGAGCGTTGTATCCTTGGAGCTGAATTTCGAGACAAAGGGTTTTACGTTGTTAGCGTTCTTCTCGATCCAAAAACTTGCGGAGGGGGCTGGCTACAACTTACATGGACACCGTGCTTTTCATTGTCGATTGAATAGGCTGTTACAGGAGGGTGATGGCTACCGGGAGAGAAAGAAAAAAATGTCAGCTCACGGTTCAGAACTTCCTGAACATATGTTATGCAGAGAACGATTCCGCGAGCCCTACGAACCTCACTTGCTCACTAATAAGCCGCGTCTCTCCAACATCGCCATCATCCTCCCACCTCCCCAGAAACAGCTCGCCCAGGAAAGGGTTCAATGGTTTCTTCTCGGTGCCCAACTTCTCGCTGCGGGTGCAATATTGCTGGTGGAGGGTGCTAAGGAACCATTTTAGCACCAGGAGAGCCCGTTTCTGAGGATCAGGTTCCTTGGCTGGAGCAACAAATAGCCTGGGATGTTCGGCCCAGTAGGCAGAGTATTCGGTGAGGGAGGTGGAGGAGAGAATAAAGGGGGGAGCGGTGAGGGAGGAGAGGTCACCGTTGAATGAAGCGATTGACTAGAAACGGCTTGTTAGATATTAAGTGTTTCAACAAAATATTAGGATTGTGTGCCGTAATGATATATTTTCTTCTACAGCTTTATGTCATCACTTTTCAACTGATCTTCTTACCTTCAAGAACGACGACCAGGAGCCACGACTGCTAGCGGGGACTCCACACCCCTCCTCTTTCTGGGAAGCCATTGTCGGGGAACAAGGAGACGAGGACAGAAGTTAAATAGCCTAAGTGAAAGCAGATACGGGGAGAAACACAATGGGCAACAGATGAGGAGCTGACAGTGGGCGTGTACAGAGGACCGCATGGACATCAACAACGGGGTGATGTACAAGTGCTTATCCTGTCCAAGTCATCGCCGTCCGTCGCCGTATCGTAGATTGGTAGTTAAGCGTATTTCCTGTGCTAGTCCGATTTAACTACTACAAAAAGATCAGCCACCTCAGAAAATCAATCCAAAAAGACGTCAAAATGATCTGATATTCCCAAAATTATCATAGATAGAATTCAATGGGAAATAATTATTTGATTGTTTTGCTAGGGTTGAAATAATAATAATTTTTTTTTTTTTTTCGCAATATGTTCGTAGATTTCGGCTGCTCAAAACTCAAAAATCAAGGGGGTAAATAACCAAATTACAACGAAATAAATTAACAGCATTGGAGTCGGGGTGAAATGTTTGAGGTCACGTGGCTATCGTTGGCTGTGGGTCATTACATAACCTGTGAGATCTTCCATTGATTGGTGGGACTGGCCAGCTAACTGAAACATGTACATCACGTGATGTGGTGCCGCTTGGGAGCTCTTTGAATCGTCTCCCACAGAAAGAATCTGCACTGCAAGGTTTAATTAAACTGATTGAATAATGAAAGTTAAAGAAAATAAAGAGTTAACTTAACTAGTATTATATTCACTTATAAATAATCTACAACTTAATATATACAATGATGTTTCATATGCTGAGGAATGGTGGTGCCATTTTGAGTTCAACGTCCTAATGACTCTGCGACTCTGCGACTCTGCGTTTTCCTGTGCCGGAAAAGAAAAGACCCAATAGCCCCAGACTCTCACGTCGAGCTTCAAGAATTTTCCCCCGATGATATTGCCCGTTGGCGGATGTAGTTTCCGGACATCTCGCTATGCCGATCGGTTGTCATCACAACTGTCCCTGGGGTCGTTGGACTTGACATCAAACTGCCATTGACCCTAGCCCAATAGCCCACACCATGCAAAGATAGGGGAAGACATTGCTTTGGTTTTGACCTTGTTACCCGGCGGAAGTCTGGTTGACACAAAGGTAGCTTGATACTTGATTGCAGGAAGGCTGGCTTATCGGCCAACGGTTCTTCGCCCTTCTTCGATTATCCCGTCAAATCCGCCGCGTTGGTATCTTGCGGCATATGGATAACATGTATATATATCTTCTCGTTTGGTTAGTGGTTTGCTGACAGCCTATAGAGTAGAAGAACAACGTTTTAGTATTCCGCATATATGAATGACATGTCTGCTGTGAAGATATTGTCAATGTTGTGACAATGGAACATTTCCTTTTCCGTCGAGACGGGTATCTATGGAGCCAATGACTCCTGAGTGGGTTACAGATCATGAAGTCCAAGATTCAGGGGTACGAAGCGACGTGGAGACCACTTCTTCACTCGTTCCATCGACTCTTGAGTTAACCGTAAACTCCATCTTGACTCACTGACAATTGACAGACACATTACATGCGTTGATGCTCTGTAAATATTTTCCCAAAGCCACCCCCACCTGTGCATCCTGCTCTAGCTAAACCGTCTTTGATGTGTGGGTTGAGTCAGGGCTGATCTGATGACAAGTCACTAGCATGCGCAATCTGAAAAGAAGGATGAGAAATGACGGTGATTGGATGACAGTTAAGAGATGATATGCGTTTCTTATGCTTATCTATTAAAAAGTACTGGAATCACCCGACTGCACTGCTCTGTGAAAACAGGAAGCCCGATTCATTTGAGCCATTCCGAATTGTGAGTTCATATGTCGTGTGAAGACTCAATCCTCTGGAGGGCTACAATCGCCTTCATCATTATTACATTTTGGGCATGACAATAACCTGGCCCTTTTTCTGGATGCGCCAGGTGTCACTAAAACTTGGATCGCTTCGGTTGGTATCCAAATCCTTGTCTCAAGTCTGTGGCTGCGAGTCTGATGATATGCTCCAACAGAGCGGACCCTGATACTTTGTCGTGCAGATTATCAGCCAAGACCAGCCACATCGCGGGATCCTCTGAAGCCGCTGCTGCGCTTCGTCTTATTTTTAACTGGGTGGATCTTCAGCCGAGCCGTAGCCCAGCCAAGAGCTTAGCACATGGCGGAGGCACCCCATCACCAAGGATAATATTTGACGTTAAACAGTGAGTGCGCGGAGAAATGAGGGTCTTCTTCTTGTCCATTTCGCTATTCACGCGTATGGACTGGTAGTAAAAGGCTTCCATAAAATTCGCCGGTGATCATATGAGAATATACGCAGTAACTACGCGTCTCGTTATTTTTATTCATATTCCTCGTTCATGATCACCACAGACATTTTTAGACATGCATTGGGACACGGGAGTATGAAATCGGGAATCGCGATCCTTAATTAACAACTTGCTTGGAAAAACTTCATTTCATCCGCCAAGTCTCTCTCGCTTTAAACCCACCTAGTCTGACAACCCAATCATCAAATCCCAGTGGCGGGACAGGACAGGACGGGACAGAGCTTATCAACATGATGGTTGGGAGGGGGGGGGCCACATCGGAAAAGTGCATCCTTATTTCATTGAGTTTTGAGAAGCGCAAAATTGAATCATTGGAGAATAGTTAGGATTGCAGGAGATCAGCCCATGCATTCTTGATTTTAAACGACGCCCTTGCAACTCATAATATTTAATGTGATCTGGTCTCTGCGGTGCGGGAGAGAAAAAGGGATGGATGTTCATATCAGCAGGGACAACAAAGCCACCGCCAAAAATGCATGCACATAAATGGGGAGAATGAATCGTCACACGTCACGGGCCCATTGGGCCATTGGCTGAAGGGCAATTTAGAGTTGTTCTATAATTATCTTTTAGTTTAATTAGTACCTTAGTTTGTCGGTTTGTTGGAGATATTTGAGTTTGGGTTGTTTCGAAGTGAGTCACGTTACCTGGAGTTGCTTTCCACATACTTCAACACCTTACACTGTGAGCGAGGGTTTGGCGACTGCTTTAGGGCAAAAGTTGCCGTTCAAAAATCAATGAAATGACATAGAATATTCACATCAAGCATTGCGAGGAGTTTGCCGATTCAATCACTACTCTTTTCCTCACGGTCCTCTTGCTCTCTCTCTCTACAGATTCAAGGATGAGTTCTTCGTGGTTGTCTCTCTTCCTTTTACGAACGTGTTTCACAGCCTAGGTGTTGGAAGTGTTGGAAGAACGTTGGAACATTATCACCAATCTCGTACCGTATGAGCTTTCTCTGTTCTGGAAGGTGTTGCATTATTTCAGCAGGCCGTTTGTTTATGGTGCGAAGCAAAAATAGAAATTTGGGTACGGAAAGCCAAAGGTCGTCATTTTTAGCTCTGGTGGTTACATACTTGCTACATCCCTAATATCAACCACCCTTCCAAACCTTCTTCCTACTTCACCCCCGGCTTTCCAGGGACCTTCTCCACGTATCCAATTCCCTCACTTTCTTCTATCCCAAGGGTCTTTGTTCTCCTTGAAAAAACCCCTTCTATGCTGATTCTACCAACACCCTTCTGCTTCTATCAATATCACACCTCTCTATCTCCGTCTCCGTCTCCATTTTGCTGCTGAGAAATGGCGAACGGTAAGAAGGACTGCGTCGCTGACGCAGTCGTCCCTGAACCTCAGGAAAGCGAAGTCATGCACAAAAGGTGTGTGCCGTATTCAACCCCCCATATCCATGACTGGGATGCAAGCGGAAAAGGGGAAGAAGGACAAAAGGAATTGGTTGTGCTGAATGTATAATCCGTGTTTTGTAGTGGAAGTTCCGACCAGCACCCCGACGATGCAGAGCGGGGTGAACAAGAGAAGATCAATTTACATTCCAACTTAACCGCAAGGTATACACAACGAGCTCACCATTTCAGACTTGATATATGTCAGATTTAACAGCAACTGATCGCGGGGCCCATCCCATTGCTTCTAGAATCAAAAACCCTCTTGCAGACATCCCAAAGTCTACCCTGATGAGAGATGTTAAGGAATTCGCCCAAAGATTCGGTTTGGAAGATATAATCCCAACCCTGCAGAGGGGGGCTCTAGTGGCCAAAGATCCGTCCAACTTTGAGAATGTCGAGGGCATCACGGAAGACGAGGTCGAAGCTATCCGGAACGAGGTCCTTCACAAATGGCGTCAGCCTAAAGCTCTCCTTTGCACGATTGTCCTGTGTTCGATTGGTGCTGCTGTCCAGTAAGTTGGCCATTCGCAGATACCCTTCTGTTTTAATCATTTTCTATGGTATCAAAAATTCTAACTTAGGTATCCAGGGGCTGGGATCAAACGGGATCAAACGGCGCCAATCTGTCATTCCCGGAGGAATTCAACCTGTTCGAAGCGGACCACCCGGATGCTGAGAGGAATCAGTGGATTGTTGGTCTCGTAAATGCGTAGGTCTTCAACATCTATCCATGGGGTCTCTGGGCTTCGATTGAACTAACTCTGGTATAGTGGACCTTATATCGGATCGGCTTTCCTGTAAGTCCAGGTCGTCTTGGCATGATCGCCAGCTATAATAGTATTCCCGCGTCTAATGCTATTCTCCGTCTTAGTGGTTGCTGGTGCTCCGATCCTCTCAACTACTACTTTGGTCGTCGAGGGGCCATCTTTGTTTCTGCTATCTTCTGCGTTCTCACTCCTATAGGTTCCGCTCTGTCTCAGAGCTGGCCTCAGCTTCTGATCGCCCGCTTGCTCATGGGAATTGGAATGGGTGCCAAAGCATCCACGGTACCCATCTTCTGTGCCGAAAACACTCCTGCGTCTGTTCGCGGTGGCCTTGTGATGTGTTGGCAGCTGTAAGACACCTTTCCACAGGTCTTTAGCTTGAGATGCCTGAACTGACGTTTTATGTAGCTGGACCGCCTTCGGCATTTTGCTTGGCTTCAGCGCCAATCTTATTGTGAAAGATACCGGTAACATCTCCTGGAGACTGCAATTGGGATCGGCGTTCATCCCAGCTGTCCCTCTTGCCTTTGGAGTATATTTCTGCCCTGAGTCCCCGCGATGGTATATCAAGAAAGGGAGAATCAACAAAGCATACGAATCCCTGCTTTCCCTTCGAAACCACCCAATTCAGGCCGCGCGAGACTTGTATTACATGCACAGCCAGATCCAAATTGAAGAGTCAGTGGCTGGCAAGAGCAATTACGTCACTCGCTTTTTCCAATTGTTCACTATTCCCCGCGTTCGTCGCGCAACCCTTGCATCGTTCGTGGTTATGATTTCGCAGCAGATGTGTGGTATCAACACCATGGCATTCTACTCATCGACCATTTTCAAACAAGCAAACGCCACTGTTACGGAGTCGTTGCTCGCGTCGTTTGGTTTCGGTTTGGTCAACTTCGTTTTCGCGTTCCCGGCGGTCTGGACCATTGACACATATGGACGACGTGCACTCTTGCTCTTCACTTTCCCACAGATGGCGTGGACGATGCTTGCTGGTGGCCTTGCATTTTATATCCCAGAAAGCAGTCCAGCTCATCTTGGTGTCGTTGCTTTCTTCATATATTTGTTTGCTGCCTTCTACTCCCCCGGAGAAGGCCCCGTCCCCTTTACCTACTCTGCTGAGGTCTTTCCTTTATCCCATCGAGGTACGTTAAAATTTTTTCATCTGACTGAGAAAGAAGATGTCGTGTTTTTTGGAAATACTGACAAATCTTTCAACAGAGGTCGGAATGGCGTGGGCAGTAGCAACATGCCTATTCTGGGCGGCTGTGCTCTCAATCACATTCCCCCGACAGTTCCGCGCCCTGACCCCCACAGGTGCCCTTGCGTTCTATGCGTAAGTCGATCCCCAACTCCCCTCACGGGTTTCCCCTCTTACCGTTACGAGCCCTCTTCTAACAAACCATTTCAACAAACACCAGCGCCATGAATGTCTGCGCCTTCTTCATGATCCTCCTCTGTGTCCCCGAGACCAAACAACGAACCCTGGAAGAATTAGATTATATCTTCGCCGTTCCCACGCGCAGGCATATGAGCTACCAGCTCTTCACTGCTGTCCCGTATTGGTTCAAGCGCTACATCTTCCGCATGAATGTTCAGCTGGAGCCGCTGTACCATTTCGAGAAGCTTGGGCAGGATGAGAATTCTATCAATGAAATTCGCAGGCGGAGTGGGGAGATTGCGCAATCGCGGAATGCAAACGTTTTGAAGGAAAAGGGAAAAGAGAAGGATGATATAAATCGAGTTTTAACACAATAATTTTTTCCTAAGGGTTGGATAGAGGGGGAGATAAACGCGCGTCGACGGCACGATGGGTCTCTTTCCATTCGAACGGCTTCGGGTGCCGGTGGACTTTAATAGCTGGACAAGCTATTGTTGAGTCTTCCATCACCAGCCTTCTTGTTGCTCTTCTATTTTTTTTCTGGCCCTCTTCTTTTATATTCCCCACGTATCTGATATACTTATGTCAGGTTGTACAAATGACTTTCTTCTTGATTTTTGCAATTTCCCTTTTATTCCTCTTTCCGCCCTAATTCACCCCCATCTGTTTTTATATTGCTGGGACAGGAGTTCGTTCTTATTTTTAAGTCATACTCCCGGCAAGTCAAGCCTCCTGCCTTTTTGATTTGTGGACTTCATGATCTCTGTGAACATCTTTCAATTCTTAGATTAGTTTGTTGATCAACATATGTTTTTTTCTTCACCTGTTGTAATAACTTTTTTTGAGTTGGTTGTAGGGAAAATTCATTCCCCCCCCCCCCCCCCCCCCTGGGCCTCTTGAGGGCTGTGTAGAGTAGATAATGAACATGCTTGCGTCCATGTGTGAGTTGTTATTGCTGCTGCGTCTGTGTGAGAGTGATCTTTCTCCGGGCTTTAACTTCGCTTCTGAGAGGAGAATAGATACAATAGACGGTGAGAATCGAAGAAACGAATGATGGCGATGGCTATGGTCTAGTTTCAGCATGAAGAGTGAACCTAATAGATAGATTTGCCCAGAGAGTTGTTGAGTTTCACGTCCTTTCTGCACGTTTTCTCATTTGTTGGTTGATCTGAATACTCAAACAGAGGCAGTCCGTAAGATGTAGTTAGTTAGGACAAACAGAAAACAAGTTAGTTGAGATTTAATCACGGTTATCCCCTCCTCAACGGGATCACATGTAGCAGCAGCTGCATATGGAGCATTGAAACCCAAAATAATATATCGTCCATTCTACCAGCTCCTTTTCCCCTCCAGCCCATAGTTACGTTGACGACAGATTGTTGATGACGTCGAGTGCTTCGAAATGGGCTGGAGTGTCACGTGTCCGTTCCATGCACGCGTGCCCGCTGGCTTGGAGGCAGCTGCTTGGGCCTAACTAACCAAACTCCAGCCGGACCACTTCTCGACTCTTGTTGCCCGTTGTTTGAACGACCGGGTCGCCCATCCGAACAACGCCCTCTTCCTCTGCTCTCTGTCCTGCATTGGCTTCTGCCAGTCCCCAGAAGTCCTGCAAATCCATCAAAGCCATTCAACCTTGATCAGTGGAAATTGGCAGTAGTGCGAGGGAGACATAGCCTCTCTCTCTCTCTCTCTCTCTCTCTCTCTCTCTCTCTCTCTCTCTCTCTCTCTCTCTTCCTCCCCCATATCAAGCTGTGAGTTGTCGGTTGGGGGTGTTGTGTTGTTTATTGTGTGGGTGTTCAAACTTCCATTCCAACAAACATTGTTGATGAAGAGTACAAAAGGCAAAAAACAAAACAACAATAATCCTCTCTCTTCACTACTCTCTTCACCTGGTTTCTAGGTCTCTCCAATACCGTTGAAGCTGATTCGAGAGAGCTGCAACACCCACCCTGCTCATTCAGCTTCCCTGTCACTTCCCCACACTCAATTTACATATAAATGGTTTCCAAACCAAGCTGCTAGCCTATCAACATGATCCTTTAGCTACTTTCAGCAGGGAATATACATATATTTACCTCCTTAGGTATATACCATCTATCGGAACCGTGACGGATTGCGCAGGTCGCCATTCCTACCCATAAACACAACACCCAAGGCTCTGAATTTCTATCATCGTATTCTCCCAAAACCTCAAAAACGAATATCCATATACACTGGACCAAAAGCACTACTACCCAACCATGCCGTGTTTCAAAGGCCTTGCAGTCAGCATCCACACCCCCAACGGGCCGTTGCCAGAGTACTCAGTCCAACGGCAATCTCGCGCCTCCCGGATTGCCTGCTACATTCCCGTCCCGCCTCCCAAACTTCCAGATTCCTCAGCAAGCAAACCCGAACAGTCCACCTTCGCAATCTCCATTACCCTCCTCACCCCGGGCCAAAATGTGCCTTACTCAACCCCAAAACCCACACCAGAAAACCCGCACCCAAAGGCAAAAGTTGTTGGCCCTTTTCCTAAGGGCGCAAACACTGTTGCAAACTCTGTCGGACCCTATCAGGCCCTGACGACTTCGCCCAACGAGACTGTTGCTGCCTATATATATTTCGACGGCCGGCAGAAGGAAGAGGTGGCGACGTTGTTGCGGCGCGGGGAAGAGACATGGGTTAATTCCAGATGGGTTGGGATACCGCAGTCCGAGGGTGGAGGGCTTGCGGAGCGGGAGTTTTTGTTTCGAGAGGTCGGGTTGGAGAGGTGGCTGAATGGGCTGGATTTGGAAGGGAAGGATTCCGCAGCGAAGATTGAAAGGAGGTGGCAGAAGATGGAGCGGAGGCGGAGGAGAAAGGGTTCAAACAGCACCCGGCGGCAAGGGCAGGAGGAACAAAGGCTGGGGAATGATGGGAATGATGAGATGATGGAAATGGATGAGAAGAAAACTAGGTTCCCTGGACAGCAGCGGCAGAGTGTATTGCGCTATGGAGATGATGCAGAGGCGCCTGTTGAGAATTTGTCGGATGTCGACTACACGTCTGGCACTGAGGATGATGATGATGATCCGATCCCTGAGACGGCGGGTCAGATTAAAGTGACCCTGTTTAGGGTTTTGGCATCGGGAGAAATCAAGCGGGGGGAATATTCGCCTCAGTTCGATGCGCATGATGACGATGAAGACAAGCCGGAGTCGAATGGCCAAGGGGCTAATGATGTGGATGTTGATCATACTACCAGCTTTGCAAAGCCGAAATCCCTAGATCCCAGGTCTATCAGTACACAGACCGTTACAGGAATTGATCCACCGGACAGGCCGTACGCCATATTTACGTTTATGTATCGAGGAGAGCGTAAGTTGGATGTCTTAGTTCCAATCATTTAGAGGTATTGATTCCATTAACATAAATTTTCACAGGGCAATTGCAAAAGATGGGTATTCTGGAAACGAAGTCCAAGGCTAAAGATAACACCGGCTCGACTGCAAAACGTGTATCTGTACAGCCGGACTTTGCGAACCTTGCGCCCCTAAAGCCTGGTGGTGCTGTTGGCTTTATTAACTTTAGAGACAGCAATAGCAAAGAGGGACTGGGAAAGTCAAGAAAGAAGCCTAAGCGGAGTAGTGGAAGTGACATGGATGACAGTGATGATGATGATGAAAATGGTACATCGTCTATACTTCACAAAGCGGAGTATGAGGAGGATAAGGATGTTGGTTCTTCGCTGCTTTCACCTGATGACGTCAAAAGACAGGGAGAACTTGCGGAGGGCGTGAGGCAGATAAAGGTATGTTTCCATTTTCCTTTCCGATTTTTCTTTTGAAAAGCAGTTCCAGTCAATGTGACTATGACTTTCATGTCATATACCTCGCGGAAATTTGTCTAGTTATTAGGTCGTATTGCTTACAATCTCCTATCACAGCTGAAACGGCAACACTCCGCCGATCCCCTCACAAACAGCGGCAACGCGACTTCGCTAACCTCAAAATCAAACACACCCGCACCAATATCGACGACCCCTCCTTCCAACAGCATAACCAGCACAACCACTGTAGCTGTTCCCGACGCCACCACCCCTCCGCACGGCGCCTCTTCCCTCCCAGACTCACATGAACCGCATATTAACAACCACAGCAGCAGTGTGCTAGACAGGGACCCGGCGTTCATCGGAAGCCCCTTGAAGAAGCAACGGGCTAGTGTGTTGGGCACGGACAATGGTGTCTTTAATAACAAGAGATCGGGCGGGTCGTGTTTGGCTGCTAACATTCAGGAGATTACGGGGTCAAGTCCTAGCTCTGGTCTTAATGGGTGTGAAAACGGTAATGTAGCTACGAGTGTCCTACCCGGAAGCAATTTGAGTATTAAGCAGAAACCGCCACAGGAGCCTGAGGAGGATCTTTAAGAGTTGGATGCAACTGCAACTGGAGAAACTGGAAATTTTTGGTGTTTATTGATTTCGAGTGGAGTCGTTGGGTTGAACTTTTGAGTTTTTTCATTGCTTGTCTTTTGTTCTTTACATTTTCTTTTTTTTTTTGTCTGATTCTTTTATATCTTTTCTCAAGGATTCATTAGTTAAATATTCCTTGCCTTGACCGAAGTGAACGAAATTACTTCAATCTTTGGTTGATTTCTTCGCTTCACCTTAGGATTTTCATATGCAGTAGCTGACAGGCAAAGTCACTAAACCACCTATCTCACCTCCCTTTCTTTTGTTCTTCCTTTTGTCCTTCAAAAATATTATTGGTCCTGAATCTTACCATCGTTTTGACTGCGGCCATTTCCTGGTTTAGCTTTTCTTCCTCTTACACTTCTTGCCTTCCCAAATTCCGAAGAACATCCGTCCATTATCTCTGCTCCTTCAAATGCTGTTGTTGTGCTCAGGCTCTGTAATGTCACAGCATACAGAGCTCCGAGTTGACACATTTCTGTTAGTTTGCTTTTTCTTCTCTTTGCAGCAGCGATTTGACGCGATACAGAGTGATTACCATTTGAGCCGACGAGCTCTAGACAAACAGCTTGTTCATGTACTAGCATACTGACTATTCTGGCATATTCGGCATCACTACCGTTCAAGGATGCGATATTGCCTCCTTCAATTCTACGCATTTACCTGAAAAATTAGAAGAATGTTTTTTTTTTTTGGAAATATTGGCTTTTTGTGTGCCCTCTTTCCACCACATTTGCTGGTGGGTTTCACCCTTGATTATTGATGACAAACGAAGGAGATGGGATTGTAGGGGAGTCCTCCGATTTTGAAGTGCGCGCGGGGGTGGGGCCCGCTGCCGCTGAAGCAGTTTTCCCTCTGGGATTGTCCAACAGCCCGCGTCTCCTACGTATGTGACGACCAACCTCAGACCCTCTGTGAAGAGATATTTCCCTAAATTAGGATTCAAACCCACGACCGCTCCCTCAGCATTTGAGATACAAACGGGAGCACAGCGATAAAACTGGAATCCTCAAAGAACACACGATCAATCAGGAGGTGTAGTAAAACGGCTCGACCGGAGAACTGACTGGCACTCGTGACGTGTATCCAATGTCACCGGTGAGGTCAACGCCGTGATGGCAGTTCCCTGATGGATGGCGTGGACAAGAAGGCCCTGTAGATATGGGTAGTTCAGTATTGGGGAACAATGTGGCCTATGCTGAGATATTTGTCTCATACTATCTAGCTACTGGAGTAAGATTTATTCTTGTGAGAAAAACTTCAAAAACTATTTATTGTACTCCGTTGTGTATATAAAAAAAATCCTTTTCGTCCTGCTGCTAATATTTTCTTAGCTTCCGAGAGAACAAGATGATAAATAGAGTAAATAACTAATAACTAAAGGATGGCCTCCAATTGAATTCTCTTGACTCAACCAAACCAAACTCAACCAAGTTCACACCTCAGAGAGACAGTTCTATCCCCCCTGAAATCACATTCAGCTTTTGGCTGAAGATATCGCCAATTCGCAGCCATGCCTCTCTCCCGGTCAACTGATCCTCTTGTCTGGATTGATTGCGAGGTTCGATATCCCCGATCGCCCCTTTAAGGTTGGTTCCGAGAGCCATCCGACATTGCAAAATCTCCGCCAGTTCACAATAAGAATAACAAACAACATGATCATCGAAACTAAACTAACCACTTTCTCCACCGGGGTATAAAGATGACAGGTCTCGATCCGCGTACGGATAAAATAATACAAATATGCTGCTTCATCACCGACTCAAATCTCGACTTAGTTGAACCCAACGGCTTCGAAGCTGTAATCCACTACCCCAAATCTGTCCTTGACAACATGAATGACTGGTGCATCAAGACCCATGGCCAGACAGGCTTGACAGCTGCAGTGCTCTCATCGACTACAACCCCGACTGCCGCCGCGGAGGGTCTGCTTGCCTATATCAAGAAGCATGTCCCCCAGAAGCGCATCGGATTGCTGGCGGGTAATAGTGTGCACACTGACAAGGCATTTTTGGCTTGTGAACCATATGCGGATGTTCTCGAGTGGCTACATTATCGATTGCTGGATGTGAGCAGTATTAAAGAGGCATTCAGGAGGTGGGGGAATGAAAAGATGTTGAGGGATGCGCCGAGAAAAGGGTTTGTGCACCTGGCAAAGGAGGATATTCTCGATAGCATTGAGGAGATGAGGTATTATCGACGTGTGTTGTTTGAGAAGAAGGATTGAATGAGATATATAACTAACTACCGAAGGATCTGATTCTCTATCGAGATACTGGGGGGCTGCTGGACGCATATTCACCAACCAAGGCCTACAATAGAGGGTATGCAATTTCAGTTGCTGTTTCAGCGATAGTGGCAGTTTTTCTCTCGTTTTCTTTTTTTTAACAAATGAACGGGAGGTGGAGGAGAATTAGCTGTTCCGTCACAGCCAATAAGGCAATGCTGTTTGAATAATGACCCCCGTGAAGATGCTCTACCATGTTACCTTAAATACACTGAATAGATACGGCCAGCGTACCTGGTTTTAGAGCAGCTACTAGCTAAGCTCCTGAAATGATGTCAAGAATCCGCCCCCATACCCGCATCTCATATAGTAGATCTCCTCTATACGGGGGGGGCTTTTGTGGTGTTGCAATGACGCAGTTGCCCCGCCAAAAACTGGATTTCAACATATCTCAACAATCTTCTAACAATCCTCTCAACACCCTTAATAGACCCAGAAATCCAAAATGTCACAATCCTCTCTAAAGAGGTGATAAGCCCCAGTGTGTACTATTGTTAGCTGTAGCAAACGGGCGAAAGGATATAAATTGGCTCTTAAAGTTTATTTTTTTTTCTTCATTCTAGCCAAATTAAATAAACACCATCGCGTCTTCGGTTGCATACCTCTTCCTAGTCCCCACCCCAACCAAGCGCAAGAGGACATTGCACGGCGAAAATATTCAAAATGAACGCCAAAACTGTGTCAATTACTCCGTTTACAGACCAGAAGGCCGGAACGTAGGTATTTTCCCTATTCCAAAGCCAAATCATCAGCATCCACCTGCTAATTCACTTGTAGATCTGGTCTTCGCAAAAAGGTCACTGTCTTCCAGCAGCCCAATTACTCTGAATCCTTCATCACAAGTATTCTCCTGTCTATTCCAGAGGGCGTTGAGGGCTCCTTCTTGGTCATTGGGGGTGATGGGCGATTCTACAATCCAGAAGTCGTGCAATTGATCGCCAAAATCGGAGCAGCATACGGTGTCAAAAAGTTGCTGGTGGGCCACAATGGTATCCTGAGCACACCCGCTGCGAGCCATGTTATCAGAAAGAGGAAGGCTACTGGTGGAATTTTGCTTACTGCAAGTCATAATCCCGGTGGTACGTGTGCTTTAAAAAACGTCTTATTTCTGGCGATGGGTCCCAAATCCTGGGTGTTCACCGCTGCACGGATTGCAATACATATCTTAACTCGTTGTACCAATAGGACCAAAGGCGGACTTTGGTATTAAATACAACCTTTCCAACGGTGCCCCCGCGCCCGAGTCTGTGACGAATAAGATCTACGAAACCTCCAAGAATCTGGCATCATACAAAATCGCTGAAATACCGGACATCGATCTTTCACAAATTGGCATCAAGAAATATGGATCCTTGGAGGTGGAAATTATCCATTCCACGACCGATTACGTCGAGATGTTGAAGGAAATATTCGACTTCGATCTCATCAGGTCCCTTTTCAAGACGCACCCCGATTTCAAGGTCCTCTTCGACGCCCTGCATGGAGTCACCGGCCCCTATGGAAAGGCAATTTTTGTGGATGAACTTGGCCTTCCTCCCTCCAGTATTCAAAACTGCGTTCCCTCTCCTAACTTTGGTGGTGGGCACCCGGATCCCAACCTGACATACGCCCACTCCCTTGTCGAGGCTGTTGACAAGAACGGCATTCAATTCGGTGCAGCAAGTGATGGAGACGGCGACCGCAACATGATCTACGGAGCCAACACTTTCGTCTCACCAGGAGACAGCTTGGCCATCATTGCCCATCACGCGAAGCTGATTCCCTATTTTAAGATGCAGGGTGTATACGGCCTGGCCCGTTCAATGCCAACTTCAGGCGCAGTGGATCTGGTCGCCAAAGCGCAAAACCTGAAATGTTACGAAGTGCCCACGGGCTGGAAGTTCTTCTGCGCTCTCTTCGACAACAAGAAAATGTCAATATGTGGTGAAGAGAGCTTTGGCACAGGTAGCAACCACATCCGTGAAAAGGACGGGCTCTGGGCCATCGTCGCCTGGCTCAACATTATCGCCGGCATCGCTAAAGCCAATCCCGGAAAGCCCCTGAGCATTGCCGCGATCCAACATGACTTCTGGAAAGTATACGGTCGCACCTTTTTCACGCGCTACGACTACGAAAATGTCGATTCCGCAGGCGCGAGTAAGGTAATTGACAATCTCAAAGAGCTTATTACCACCAAGAAAGATACCTTCGTTGGCTCGAGCGTTTCGGGACGCAAGGTCCTCGAGGCTGATGACTTCTCCTACACCGATCTGGACGGCAGCGTAAGTAAGAACCAGGGTATTTACGTCAAGTTCGATGATGGGAGTCGTATCATAGTCCGCCTGTCAGGAACGGGCAGCAGTGGGGCTACGATTAGGTTGTATGTTGAGCGCCATGAGCCAGATGAGAAGGAGTTTGGGAAAGATGCGCAGGAGTATTTGAAGGAGAATATTGCGTTGGCTGTGCAGTTGTTGAAGCTGAAAGAGTTTATTGGAAGGGAGGAGCCGGATGTCAAGACTTAGACGGGAAAACTAGATCTGGGACGTTCAAAGTGGCCGCTGAGGATGTGGACTTATGCTAAGAGCAAATTGTGTTGAAAAGATGTGATAGCTGATGCGTGAGGAGAGTTAGGTCCAGCAGTGAGCTTTCTATAGTTATTTCAAGATATAATCGTGCCCCGCGCACCCACACCTGATGTGGGTGCGCCACAGCGTAATGATAAAAACAGCGTGATGATAAAAATATGGATAATTAGAACTTCAAATATTAATATCTCATCACCACACTGCTAATCTATGATAATTAATTTATCTATATCATCTGTAGTAGCTGTATTATTTGTGAGATGTTCATATATATCATTAACCTCTTGTTGAGTTGGATCTGTGGCATTTTTTTTCAAAGCTCTCTCAACATGTTTTGACTTTCTTATAATATTCTTTTTCTGCTTCCTCCTCTTTATGTTGTGTGATCTTTCTATTCACATCTCTGACAGTGAGTATACCTCCTACTTGAACCTGCTGATGTGTATTTTTAGTGCTGTGATGTTTGATTGCAAGGTAGTAACTCTCAATTTCACTTTTTCTTATAGTATTAAGTTCTGTCTGAACAAGACTGCCTTGGAAAATCTTGTTCAATTGATTGCTTAGATGAGGTGATTTGAAATCAAGTGTGTTCTTCATATCTTGCATTGTCTTCTTTGTCATGTGAATATGATGTTGTAGCTTCTTGATTGTTTTAAGTGAGAATAGCTATGATGAAGCAGTATCTGAACAGTTTGATTGCAGTGAAAAGAAGTCTTCTTCATATATTTGCAACTCAGAGTAGTCATAGACCTTTGAATCTAGCTTAAGTAGTACAAATTGTGAATTGAATGAAACAATATCACAATCTGCAAAGTCAGTCTGAATAGTAAAAGATTGAAAAGTCTTTTTGCAGACATCAACTAAATTCTGTAGAAATTGATGTTTTTCATACTGCTCATATTTATATCACACAGCTTGATTAACTGTCTTTGAATGATAGTGCTTTTATTACTGAAAAGATATACTGTTTAAAGATTGTAATATATAAGTTAAATGTGAAGAAAATTCATATAGAATAATCTTATGAAGATTGCAGTATTGTAGAAATTCTTCAGTTAGATGAAATTCATAATTGTCAAAAAGCAGCAATTGATGACTGTCTTGTTGATGTTTTTTAGAGATCTCATTAAAGTGCTGAATCCATGCAAAGTCAATCTTATTATTGATATAATCAGTATCTGATGTCATGATTGTATATCCATCTGATAGATTGCTTTATATATACTAATCTTCAAGTTGAGTTTTGAATTTCATGATGATAAAGAAATTCAATATCTCATTATCTACTGAAACACACTCAATCACAGTGATCAATTCTTGAGAATATGATGAAGTTATAACTGAATTAAAGTCTTTAAAAGCAGTAATAACTCATTCTCCACATCCTTGACCCTCTTGAAAGCCAATCTCATTGAAGTTGTAGATATTACAGATTTGAAATGTGTACTTTTGAAGTAAGATTTTCAAATAATCAAATCATATCTTGATGTAGCTAATATTCTCAATAGCAATTCTTTTCAGATCTATTGTCTTTTGCTTAACTCTTTTATATTTATTCAAGCTTTGTATATATCAATAGGTCCACATCTTGCTGACCACAGATGGGGAGGCTGAAGGATCAGTATGATGACATTTGAGAATGAAATTCACATTATCTTAAATCTGCTCTGCAGTCAGTGAGCAATTATTTCTATCCATATGAGCTATTCACTCTTTTAACATGTCCTCCTGGCTCTTGCTAAGCTTCTTGTTTAGTGCAGTCTTTGCATTGTGTGTTTTTCTTTCATTGATTCTTGCTTGAAGATATTGATAAAAAATGTTGAATTTACATGTCAGAGATAGGATTTTCTGTTTTCAATTGTCATTATAGACTTCAATGACACTCTGAATACATTTTTCAAGATCATCTATCTTATTGATCATGGTGGTGGTGATATATTAATATTTGAAGATTGATTAATGAAGAAGTTGATATTTTTATCATTACACTGTTTTTATCATTACGCTGTGGCACACCCACATCAGGTGTGGGTGCGCGGAGGCACGATTAATAGTTACATGAATTAAACGAATGAGAAGCAAAACTATTTTTCTATATTAAATATACTCTGGTTCATAGTTGAATGTTATCTTAGAAGTCTTTTCTTTTCTCATTTCCCCCCTAATTTCAAGTAATAATAATGAAGTGAAGGCTTTCTCCTTTCTTTCTCATCAATTACTTGAGCCCCTAGTCTCTTTATCTCATATTTCACCTCCGAGTCTCACTTCCGTTGCGGATATCAATTCATATGTTTCTGATATTTCACTGAGATAACAATCAGTCATTATAAAATACCAGAAGATATGAGTAGCACAGAAAAGTACATATCATTGCTAAATGAATCAACATAAAAAGAAGTAGCTCTGAAGCAAGCATCCCTCAGTTGATGAAAATCATATTATCATAAAGAAGTCATGACTGTCATCAATAAAAATAGTACATCCCAATAAGCATAATGAGAAAAGGGTGAACGGACATCAAAACCACCACATAAAAACAGACCTCAATTCGTCACTCTCGCTTCCCCGCCCACCACTCCTGCCACCTAACAACCTTCCCCTCCCTCCTCGCCTCCTCCGCCGCAAACACAGTCGCATGGCTAATCACTGCCTCCTCAAACGAACAGCCAACAAACGTCCTCTGTGCCCTCTCAGCCTCCCACCCCAAATTCTCCACGACATCTACCGCCCTCACAAACGCCCTCGTCAGCCCATAATCTCCTCCACCGTGCGATTCCGTCTCTTCTGGCGGAGGTTCTGGCACGTACGTAATGGCCCTCTCCCCACTGCCGAAATCATACACAGATATTGTTTTGCTGTCATAGGTTAATTCACCCTTCGTACCGGAAACGCGCCCCCGACGCTCGCACTGTGCCTCCGTCGATGCGACCATATGGAGGACAGCAGTTTTAGCGCCTCGTCCGCGCAGGCGGGTGTGCAAGTCTTGTTGCCCTGCTGTTGCTGCTGTTGCTGCGGAAGGCAGCGGGAGTGGGTCATCCGCCCAGGAGATGGTGACGACCTGGTTCTCAATGACGCTGTTGTCAGATTCATAGACGCAGCGGCCAAACCAGGGGCGTGCGGCAACTACAGCATCCGAAGTTGTGGATTTGTCGTAGTCCTCTGCCAAGGTTTTCATGAGCAGCGATTCTGCTGCGGCCATCCCGGATGTCTCGAAGGTGTCCTCAATATCTGGGCAGACGATATGAACGGGCCACTTCGTTAACCCCTTAGAGAGGAAGCGGTCTTTATAGATTTTAATGGCGCTATAGATACAGTCTTTTTCAGCGGGGCAGGAGAGACAGTTTGTTGCATCTCCTGCTGCCGTTGGTTTACCCGCTTGGCGGAATTGGGTCAATGAGCCTGTCGAGGAGATAGATTGTGGTGTATGATGTGGGTAGTCATCTGGGGCTCCTGGCGGTGGAAAGGAGAGAAGCCAGAGGATAAAATCGATGTCGTGGGAGCATTTTGTCAGGAGACTGCCGTCTCCGCCTTGAGTTTCGCGGCGCCAGTTGCCGCGCACAAAGCTATGTGCGAAGTGGTACCAGCCCACGGGCTCTGTATGTTCGAGGAACGTAATCTCGCCAATAACTCTATCCTCGAGCAGCAGCCGGCGAAGAATCTGGTTGTGTGGACTATAGCGCAGGACGTGGCCTATGGAAAATATTTTTGACCTGGAGAGATTATTCTCATTGAAAGCGCGGGAGATAGCCAGACAATCTTGGAGCGATGTCGCCAAGGGCTTTTCACAGAGGATGTGAAGATTGAGGGGGGCTATGGCGAGCAGGATCTCCACATGCATCTCGTCAAGGGTGCAGATAAACACCCCGTCGACACCCTTTGGCTGCTCCCCACCCCCTTCCTTCTCCTTTTCCCTACGCAATTTTTCCCACTGCAACCATTCTTTCCAGTCAGCAAACTCCTGCCCCTCCCCTGGAGGTTCGCTGCCCCAGATATAGCTCCGCCCAAACCCCTGGCGCTTGAAAGTATCCACCTCTGCAACAGCATGAATGACGCCGGTTGTTGCATTAGTGACAGCGCGAGCATAAGCGTTACCACGAGACCCGGCGCCAATAACGAGGAACCTAGGAGCTGCTGTGGCAATGTGCTTCGTGGACTCGGTGGAGGCCATGGCGGTTAATTCTGATTAGATTCTCCAGTTTCATAAAGTATATCCTAGGTTTTGGAATTAATTCAAGGGAGTTTCAGGAAAGTAATAATGAATTTATGGCATTGGGCGGGCAGTAGTATTAGTCATTGAAGAATGCCAAGTCCATCCCTAAATATCTGGCAGTCAACGAATGTTTCTTATATAGCTAGTGACAGTCCTGGAGTGACAGCTATCAGGCTGTAGTGAGCAGTGGTTCCAGACGCAGAGCCTCCTCCACATTCCCTGCGGGGCAAAGAGTGCATGTTTCCACACTGGTGAACTAGTGTTAAAGAGCACTAAGAAGTGAGGGGCTCCATTAAAACAATGCTTGAAGTGGTCACCACAGCCAAGTTGCAGCAGACCAGGGCGTAGAATCACGGATGGATGTTGACCCTGCGCAAAGCCCGTTGTTGGTTTGTTGCAGTCGCTCTGAAAGTCGGCTGGATGAGATAAGCAGTGCTGGCTGGAATTCAGCGGCTGTGATTGGCTGTCATGTTCAGCCAATGACATTTAGTTTAACTAATGTAACTAAAAAAAATATCATCAGAAGAATAAAAGATAAAGAAAAAAAGAGATCATACATAATTACAGAAACTATTCAATAAGAATGCAAAAGATGGTGTTGAACCATCTGTAATCAAGACTCTAGAATGCTCATCAGCTGTTGAAAGTTACACTCATTATCTGAATAACTTCACAATCACCTTCACTATATCTTTATCATCCTTTTTGTTCATATCTTAAGTAACTTCTTATTGCAAGGTATGAACCAAGCATGTAACACTCAATAATAAAGTCTATAGAGAAGAATCCATAGATCTATGTGGTCTAACAAATTCCAACGCCAGTAGAATATGCAGAATTCTCTGTTAAGAAATGAAATGTGTGAGGAACACAGTCAAGAAAGGAAAGCTTTTTACCTCCTCACCACTCAACCGCGCAAAGTTGAGGATAGTCGAGTACATATATATAG